CCACTCCCCCTGCTTGTGTTCCCTCTCTCGCTGTCTCTCTCTGTCAAATAAATAAATAAAATCTTAAAAAAAAAATTTGTTTATTCATGAGCGACACAGAGAGAGGGGCAGAGGAAGAAGCAGGTTTCCTGTGATTAAGAGATTATTTTGTTCTTAGGAAGTATATATTAAAGTACTGTGTACAGAGGCATGGTTTATACAGCTCTCATTTTTTAAAAAGATTTATTTATTTTAGAGCAAGAGAGAGAGAGAAGGGTGAGAGGGGCAGAGGGAGAGAGAAAAAGAGTCTTAAGCAGACTCCATGCTGAGTGTGGAGCCCAAGGCAGAGCTCAGTCTCACGACTCTGAGATCATGACCTGAGCTGAAACCGAGTCAGATGCTTAACTGACTGCCACCAAGCACCACCATAACTGTCTATTAAATGGTTCTGAAATAGGGGCGCCTGGGTGGCTCAGTTGGTTAAATGCCTTCAGCTCAGGTCATGACCTCAGGGTCCTGGGATCAAGCCCCTCGTCGGGCTCCCTGCTCAGCAGGGAGTCTCCTTCTCCCTCTCCCTCTGCTCCTCTCTCCACTTATGCTCTCTTTCTCTCTCTCTCAAATAAATACATAAAAGGTTCAGAGATAAGTAACTGTGTATGGACACACGTGTGTGTGTGTGTGTGTGTGTGTGTGTGTGTGTGTGTTAAAAAATAGGACCTTGGTGGGAACTATCCTATCCAAGTTCTTTGTATGTAATGGACTATCTTAATGATTTAAAAGGTGCTTATTTCTATGTCAGTAACTATATTAAGCATACCATATGCATTATCCTTTAGCCCTCACAAGTCTTTCATGCAATTGTTAATTTTTATTTATAGATGAAGAAACAGGCTTGGAGAGGTTAGTATGACTTCCTCTCAAGGTCATAGAGTTCGTAATATGGCAGACTCAGAACTCGCATCTCATCTGCCTATAGAACCATTGTTCTACACCTCTTGTTGTTGTTGTTTTTTTTATTTATTTTAGAGAAAGTGTGGGAGTGGAGTGAGGAGCAGAGGGAGAGGGAGAGAATCCTCAAGCAGACTTCCTGTTCAGTGCAGAGCCCAACACAGGGCTTGATCCCAGGACCCTGAGGTCGACTTGAGAAATCAAGAGTTCCGTGCTAACCTACTGAGCCACCCTGGGGCCCCTTCATTTCTTATTGTTTTTTTTTTTGATTGAGGTCATTATCTTCACACTGTGCCTTAGATTAAGTGAAAACCTTTTATGTAGTATTATTCTGAGTTTCTTCTTTAAAACACTTCTTTGTAAAAGTTTATTTTCCTAATTACAAATGTAAAGTAATTCTAAAAGTATAAAATCTAAAAGTCCCCAGGTCGCCTGGGTGGCTTAATCATTAAGCATCTGCCTTTGGCTCAGGTCATGATCCCAGGGTCCTGGGATCAAGCCCTGCATTGGGCTCCCTGCTCAGTGGGAAGCCTGCTTCTCCTTCTCCCACTGCCCCTGCTTGTGTTCCCTCTCTCGCTCTGTCTCTGTCAAATAAATAAAATCCTTAAAAAACAAACAAAAAACACTAAAAGTCCCCACTTCCACTTCTCTTTCTTAGAGGCGTAACTATTGATAAAAATTCCTGTATCATTTTTCTGTGTGTGTACAAACATGCTTCAGAATTAATACAAGTAATGTTTATGTGTATTTTTAAGTTAACCTTTTAAATTACAGAACATTGACACTTCTACCAAGTTGCAGTGGGAATTAGTCTTTAGAGATCATACTATAGATGCTTAGAATGCTTATTGCTGCTGGATTAGTCCCATAACTTTCTTGCTGTAAGATTATTTTTAGTGTTTTATGAAGAGTTTGATTATATGCACACTCTTTACATTTTTAAAAATTCTTTTTTTTTTTTTAAAGATTTTGTTTTTAAGTAATCTTTACACCCAGTGTGGGGCTCAAACCCACAACCCTGAGATAGAGTTGCACGCTCCACTGACTGAGCCAACCAGAAACCCCAACTACATTTTTTTTTTAAATTGAGCTATAATTCACATCATATGAAACTTATCTTTTAAAGTTTATAGCTCAGGGATTTTTACAATGTATATAATGTTGTGCTAAACACCACTATTATCTAATTCCGGAACATTTTTATCACCCCACAAAGATACCCTGTATCCATGAGCAGTTACTCCCTATTCCTTTTTCAACCTAATCCCTGACAACCACTAATCTGCTTTCTGTCTTTATGGGTTTACCTGTTCTGGACATTTCATATAAATGGTATCATGTAATAATGGTTTTTTTTTTTTGCCTGACTTTTTTCACTTAGTATAATGTGCTCCTAGTTCGTTCACATTGTATCATGTATCAGTATTTCAGTCCTTTTTATTATGTGACTTTTCAGATGAGCATAGAATATTGGGGCGATAAGACAGTTTTTTCAAATTTTGCTTACTAAGCCAGTTTGGTTCTCACAGATAGGGAGATCCATTTTGAATATATAGATCAGCACAGAAACATCCTATAATATTATAAGAATATTGTTTTTGCATTTGCAGATTGGTTTTAATCTTTATTATTTCATCCACAGTTTATAACATTTTTCATATTACTGTCAGCCTTAGGAACATGAGTCTTTGCTACGTTTTTGCTCAAATAGGACCATGAGGATTTTCACAAAGGCATTATGGAGTTTGGATTTAACTAGTGGGAATTGGCTGGGTGATATTTAACTTGCTCTTGGTTGACTCTGGTCAGGTCTGCAGGTCCAAGTATGTGTAGTTCTTTAATTAGAATATGGCCAAGGGAGGAAATTGCCAATTTTGTCCTTTTTTTTTTTTTTTTTTTCCTTCTTTCTTTTTAAAGATCCAGGTGTAAAGGAAAGAAAAGCCTTGCCAGACACTGAAGAAGGGAAGGGGATTTCTCCTCCTAATCTGGGTCTCCTGTCATGGTAAGTAAAAAGAAATAACAAGAAAATTAGAATTGAACTCTATCCTGAAATTGAGTGAACACTAATAGGTCCATACATTTTTGTTTTTGTAAATCATTTTACTTTTCCTGAACTCTCTTCTTGTTACCTTTCTTTTATTATTTATTTAGTAATAATGGAGCATTTTAGTGTTTTAGAATGGTTTATTTCTGTTTAATCCTATGAATTAGATATTGTCTCTTACTTTCAGTCAGCTAATAAATGGACTCAAGACTAAAATTCGTGGTTCTTGGATTCTAGGTTTCTTAATCCTTTTCTAGGAAGCAAGATATAGTGAAAACCGTGTGTGTGTGTGTTTAGAATTATGATATGGTCATATACATACTCTTTATGAATTCACCTTTCTGGATAGAAGTAAATCCCTACCTTCTCCTTTCTGTGTATTTAAGACAGTATTTTTATCCCAAAGAAGGTGAAGCAGCTTTGCACACCTCCTGCCTACGTCTTTGACTCTACATCTTTGACTGAAAAGAGCGTATAATGAACATTTCAGTGACTTGTAGGCCATTTAGGGCTCAGTCCAAGCAGAGAAGATGGAGCAATGAGCCAACCACGTCTCAGTCCTGAGCATATGTAAACAGTGCTTCAAGGCTTAAAAAAGAAATGGCGCTCTGTAATATTGTTCTGCTTCTACCTTGTTATGTCTCCTAGATCCAAACTCTGTTTCATGCTGGCGCACAAAGAAGGAATTGAAAAGGCCATGTTAATTTCAAGCTTCATTAGGGACATGGGTTGAAAATGCTTTTTAAAATTAAAAACAAACTAAAACACAACAGAAAAAGTAGTTGTGCAGAAATGTCATACTAAAAGGAGAAAGGTAACTGCTTTCATTTTGAAGCTGGGTCAGTTTTTTCTTAGTTTGTGGGTATAACAACTTTTTGTTAGATCGTATATCCAAACACTGATGAACTTTTAATATTTCTCCAGACTACAGTTTATTTTATTGGTTTTCCCATAGAGTTTTTAATGAATTGAAAAAGTGTTTGCCTAATATTTATATGGTATGTATGCCAGTGCTAATGAATAACAAATGACAGCCTTATAAAAGCAGCTCTGTTCTGTACTGAGGGGTTGTCCTTTATTGTATACCATGTAGCTAGCAACAGTACGGTCCTCATCCTGGTGCAGCTGGGGTCTCTGTTAGTGCCCTGTGGATAGTCTTCTGGTGCACTCTGGAGAAGATTTTGTGTGCTGTAGTTGGGGAGCAGTATGGCCATGTGTCTTTTTTTTTTTTTAATTTCTCATAAAGTAACATTATAACAAGTTTTTACAAATACTCATTGATAATTCTACTACCAAAACCCATGGTTGTATTCCTTTCTACCTACCTGTATTCCTTTCTACTGTATACTTTTTATGTATTTGGAGTTAAAGCATAATTAAATTTCTGTTTTGCTTATTTCACTGAAGGAATTAAAAATTTTCCCGTGTTGATTCATTGGATTCCTAATGTTCATTTTACTAGCTGTATAACATTTTGCAAGTTGTTGAACCATTGATTTAATTAATATCAATTGGTGTATTCTGTTGTTTCAGCATTTAGGTCATATATGCTTAATCATTATTTGTGTAGTGCATTCAGGAGTACTGAAATTTTTTTTTTTTTAAGATTTTATTTATTTGAAAGCACAAGCAGGGCAAGCGGCAGGCAGAGGGAGAGGGAGAAGCAGGCTCCCTGCTGAGCAAGAAGCCCGATGTGGGGCTCGATCCCATGACCTAGGATCATTACCTGAGCCAAAGGCAGACACCTAACTGACTGAGACACCCAGGCGCCCCAAATTTTCTTTTTTAAAATGTATAGCTCTGTACTAATTTGAATAACATCCTCTTTATGCTTGTAAAGATTCTTAGATTGAAGTCTTTTTTGGGAGGTTAAGCATTAAGAGAATATGTTTTCGTGTTTTATGGAAAATCTCAAGCTTGTATGAAGAGAATAGTGCAATGAACCATCATGTGCATCAATCCACTGCAGTAATCATTAATTCGTGGCCATACTTGTTTCTTCTGACTCACTCACCATCAACTCTTGGATTATTTTGAAATAAATCCCAAGCGTTGTATCAAGAGAAATTTGTATTTTTGATGGCCTTCAATACCAGTCTTAAGAATAATGACTGGAAAAAAAAAAGAATAATGACTGGAATTGACAATGAGACTGATAATTATTTTCATTTTTACGTTTTGTCCAGTATTCCTACACATACTCTCAGTAGTTTTTTTTTTTTAAAATCCTGGAACATTGTATATGAATTTAGTTAATAGGCATTTTGACTTGTTGGCAGTCTCTGCTTCCTGTGTTCTTTAAATATTTATTTGTAATGTTGATTTCCCCTCTTAAGCATGGATTACCTCTCTTACCTACATAAGCCAGTAGCAGAAACTAGCCTGGAATTGTGGTGACTAATCCCTTTTCAAGATTTTTGTAGGTAGCTCCACTGACCTTATGGAACTGGTAGAGGCTAAGAAGTGCCAGATTCCACAATGCCTGGTGTCTGTCAGCAATACCAGGAAATCGACCATGTGGAATACATGCTCCCTAGTACTAATAAATTACTACTTGTAGCCTGGGAGAAATTTTGCAAGCCTCTTATGAGGCCAAGACTTTCTAGTCTGTTTCTTCCTTCCCTTTTGTCTCCTTCCAGCTCCTTACTCTATCAACCATCTCAAGTTTGACCTTTTTTACCCATGAAACTTAAAAACTATAATAAATTAGGCAGTTAATTCAACTTATGTGTTAGCCAAGTAATGTTTTTTGAAATACCATTCTTCTAGGATGTCAGTAACTTGTCCTAATGTTAATTAAGTCCTTGGTGATTAAATGCATATTTATGTACAAGGGGGAAATCAGCTCTAAAGCTTTATAGGTAACGTGAATTGAGATAGTCTTTTAAAAAGAGCACTGATTTTGACTATGAAAAAATATTACTTCATGATCTTGCCTTGCTGACTTAATTCTCTGTTCTCTTATGTTCAAAATGATTCATTCAATTTTCAGTTTTCACTGGCTACTTTGGTTATATACATTGGCATGGATTAGCACCTAAGTGAATGTGCCAGCAAGAATAGATGTGTAATGGCTTCTCATTTTTGGTTTTGTTTTTAGCTTGCCTACGTTATTTTAATTCTGTGCTCTTTAAAGGTCAGTAAAAAACTAGGTCCGATAATCACTTGAAGAAATGAGTGCCTCTGTAAAATGATCTTCAAGAGAATAAAAGTTTAGGCCTATGTATTTGTGTGAGTTAAAAAGTTAATGTGATGCTGAGGAGGCATGTTTACAGTGTACTTTTATATAATAATTTTTTAAAGATTTTATTAGAGCTGGGGGAGGGGCAGACGGAGAGGGAGAGAATCTCAAGCAGACTCCCCGCTGAGCATAGAGCCCCACGCAGGGCTCGATCTCATGACCCCCCAGATCACAACCTGAGCCAAAATCAAGAATCAAATGCTTAACCGACTTATACACACAAGCACCCCTTTTATGTAATAATTTTTAAAGCATTCCCCTTCATGGTGTTTCCTACCTCTCCCCTATTGCTTTATGAGAAAAATCTTCCTAAATTCAAGATTCCTCTTATCTTATCTTAGTTTTAAGTGTAAACACTCAATGTTCTTTGAGTCAATAGCTAAAAAAAAGGTAACAGAGAAAAATGAGTTCCTTTCAAATATGACTGTATCCCTTGTTATTCCTTCACCCAGTCATTGACCTTGGAGGAAATGACTGAAGAGGGATAAAATGGAACATATTGACACAGATCTCTTCATCTAACAAGTTATTTTGGTATTGATGGGAGTGGAGCCTTTGTACAAACCTTTGTATACCCCCAAATAAGTATATTTTTAGAGGCTCTAAGCTACATGATATCAACCTTACTAAAATATACTGCCTTAATTAAACTTTTCTTTTGCTATAAGAAACTGAATAAGTTTTTATACTTTTGCTTTTATATTTATCAGCCATAATTTCTTTCTTTTCTTTTTTTTTTTTTAAAGATTTTATTTATTTATTTGACAGAGACAGCAAGAGAGGGAACACAAGCAGGGGGAGTGGGAGAGGGAAAAGCAGGCTTCCCGCGGAGCAGGGAGCCTGATGCAGGGCTCCATCCCAGGACCCTGGGATCATGACCTGAGCCGAAGGCAGATGCTTAATGACTGAGCCACCCAGGCGCCCCTATCAGCCATAATTTCTTAATTCATCATGGTGACTACCTCACAGCCCTAGGGGTGCGACTCTATTTAAACACATGATTTGTTTTCAAATATAAAAAACTTTATTTAATGATGACTGAAGTTTCATAAATTTTTTCTGGATTTCATGAACCATTTATAAAGTTGTTACAGTTTTATTGTTAGAACTTGAAGTCAATAATTTCTTTCTATATTTTAAATATCAAACCTTTAAAAGGGTTGTAAAATTCTTGTGCCTCAAAATAAAGTGTATCCTTAGAGGGGATGGAATGGGCCCAGTCATCTAGTAGCCAAGAGACTGATTTTATGGTGGTAGATGGGTGAGGGATTGTTATTCAATCCCTTTATGGCCCTTCTTGTCACAGATTAGCTCTGGAAGAATGGTTTGAGAGAAAGTGACTTCAAATGAGACCACTTGAATTAGTGTTGCAGTGTAGTAGATAGAGCAACAGTTCTCCAACTCTTTGCTTTGAAGATCCCTTCTTACATTCCTAACTTACTGAGGACCCCAGAGGGGGTATGTCTGTCTGTACTTTATTAGAAATTAAATCTGGGAAGTCTTTAAAATGTTCTTATGTTTGTTTAAAGATAACTAACTGGGGTGCCTGGCTGGCTCATTTGATAGAGTGTGCAATTCTTGATCTTGGAGTTGTGAGTTTGAGCCCCATGTTGGGTATAGAGATCACTTAAAATCTCAAAAATAAAATAACAAAAACCAACTAAATGTTAACATAACGTTTTTGATGAAAATAACTTTTTCCTCATCCAGAAATAGTGTAACCATTGGCATTATTAATATTTTTACAGATCTCTTTAATGTTTTGCTTAATAGATGATAGCTAGATCCTTATATCTACTTCTGCATTTAATTTGTTAAAATATGTTGTTGAAAAAAATGTTGAAAATAGGAAGTAAATCCAGCCTCACACAGATATGTAGTTAGAAGAATAATAGTTTTTCTATCTGGAGAATATTGTGTATATTCTTCTGTTATACCAAAACAAGGAATATTTGTTTGTTTTTTTTGACAAGTAATATTTCTTTAAAGGTTAGTTGCAATGTGGAATCTGAAACCATATCAGTAAACTTACTCTATTTACTGTTACATTTTTTAAAGATTTATTTGTTTTAGATGGGGGGAGGGACAATGGCAGAGGAAGAGAGTGTCCTAAGGGGACTCTGCGCTGAGTGCAGAGTCGGACATGGGGCTCGATCTCCTGACTCTGAGATCACAACCTAAGCTGAAATCAAGAGGCAGACACTTAACTGACTGCACCACCTGGGCACCCCAATATATTCTATTACATTTAAAGCCGTTGGTCTATCTTGCACTTTAAATGGGTCTTTCATTCATGCATGATTTTGTAACATTATGCATTTGTCATTTTGAAAATAATTGTTCATTGAATAATGCCGAAATTCCAAATACAGACATATTTCTCTATATCATTTCTTTTATTATTTTATTATTTTTTATTTTCTTAAGTAGGCTCCACACCCAGCATGGAGCCCAATCCAGGGCTTTGAACTCACCATCCTGAGATCAAGACCTGAGCTGAGATCAAGAGTTGGATGCTTAACTGACTGACCCACCCAGGGGCCCCTATAATTTCTTTCAAAAATCACATTTGGGGGACATCTAGGTGGCTCGGTTGGTTAAGTGTCTGCCTTCAGCTGGGGTCATGATCCCAGGGTCCTGGGATTGAATCCTGCATTGGGCTCCTTGCTCAGTGGGAGCCTCCTTCTCCCTCTGCTGCCATTCCCCTTTCTTGTGCTCGGGTGCACTTTCTCTCTCTCTCTCTGACAAATAAATGAAATCTTTAAAAAATACATATATATATATATATATATGTAAAAATTACATTTGGTAGTAATGCCTCTGATTTCATCAGAAAAGTCTGCTTAAGTATTGGGAATCTGTGAAGTTCTTCATTTTAGCAGTTGGTGGGTTTTCTAAGATTCAAATTTTCACATGAAAGCTTTATCATTAGTAATTAATGATGTCATTTGGAGGAAAAAATCTGCCAGCTTAAGTCTGAATTATAGTCTGTCAGTTCTTTTAAAATGGTATTTAATGAAAAAAAACTGGTTAGTTCAGCTGGTAACTAAAACAGTCGCACAGATGGTTTACCTTGAGACAACCATAATATTGTCAGTATGTGGCAGAAGTATTTCATGTTATTTCCTTTATAAAAAAAGACTTAACCGAAGGGTCAAGATTTAATAAAATTTTATCATTTTTATTATCAAGGACATCCTAAGTGAAATTGGTGTCATTGCTTATACTAAGGTGCCAATAGTTTTATCTACTAATTCTTTTTGTACTGTTAATACAAATGTCAATACAGTGAAAAAAGGCAGATAATGTCTTCGTATTAATGTGGAGGTGTTTCTGACCACATAGAGCCCCTGAAAGGTCTCAGAATCTGTAGACCTCACTTTTTTTTTTCAAAGATTTTTTTTTTTTTTTTAGAGAGAGAATTGAGAGAGAGCATGAGAGGGAAGAGGGTCAGAGGGAGAAGCAGACTCCCTGCTGAGCAGGGAGCCCGATGCGGGACTCGATCCCGGGACTCCAGGATCATGACCTGAGCCAAAGGCAGTCGCTTAACCAACTGAGCCACCCAGGCGCCCTGTAGACCTCACTTTGAGAGCCACATTAGTAGTGTTACTGTTTTATGATTAAGATTGCTATTAGGTAAAACAGTAAGTGGGTTTTATAATTAGGATTTATAGGTAGGATTTATTTTTTCCTTTGAGGAGATTTAAAGAATTGCTGGAATTGTGTTAAGCAGAACATATAGGTAGAACTGTCTACTAACTAGTGGTTATAATTCTTAGTGCTGTCGGGGGAACATGATACGGTTTTTGCTCTTGTAAAATGTGCTGTATAAAACAGATTCTGTAATAATTTACAGTTCGGCTGTCCAACAGATTGCTTTTTTCCTGTCTTCCTAAACCATAAAAATTCATAATATAAAAGACTACTTTTTTATACACATTCTAATTAGTTCAATTCAAGTGCCATTTAGATTAGAATTTATTGCTTTTTTTGAAATTGTCTTAATAGAAATCTGTTTTGTAATTTAAGGCAGATTAAACTGGGGACAGTGGTTCATACATTTTCACTTTTAGAGGGATTCAGTTTCTAAACTTAAATTTTTAAAGAAACCTTTCTGTTATGGAAATCTCACTTCTAACAAAAGTAGACACAGTGGTTTAGTGAACCACTGCTTTTCCCAGTTTTCCCAGTTATCCCTCATGGATAATCCTGTTTCATTTGTTTCCCACTCACTTCCTTCCTACCCTCCCCCTTCCAATTAATTTTAAGCAAATTGTAGACCTCACATCATTTCATTCTTAATTCAGGATATAGCTTTCAAAAATAAGAATTTAAGGTCATAACTTACAGAGAAAAAACTCTTGGTTTGTCTTACAAGTAATGTACTAACAACTTATTTGTGCTTAGTAAAAATGTTCTTAACCTCTCAAGACTTTTTTTTTTTTTTTTGCACCCATGTATTCTGACTAGAGACACCTGATATATTGGCTGGAACACTTTGGGGATGAATATTTTTTCCTTGAGCTTTCTGCCTATTCACCTTGGTAACTGGACTCTCAATTGTGATCACACTACTAGACATGGCAGAAAAATAAAATATGGACAACTGAGAGCTTTGAAATTATTTAAAGGTTTTGGGTTTTTCCAGGATGAAGAGACTCGGCACAGCCTTGAGTGCATCCAGGCCAATCAGATCTTTCCCAGGAAGCAGCTGATCCGGGAGGATGAGAATCTTCAGGTAATGATAGGCCACTTTGATTATAAAATAAGTATTTAGCATCATAGTAACAATGTAGCAGAACTAATGGATTGAAGTAATGCACTGTATAATTTTGTTTTTCCCTAAACCATACACATAGTAGAAATGCAAGCTGGAAAACATCTCTTTTTAGAAAGACTTATTTCCTGAGAATTCATTATTTGAGATGATCATATCTCTGTCATTCCTTCAGTAGTCTAGAATTTGAATAACTAGGTATATTTGAATTATGTGGATATAAATCATCCTCTTTAGGTCCCTTATTTATTTATTTTGAGTAACAGGTTTTTTTCATCCATTCGTCCAGCCTGTGCTTGAAGACTTTGCTTTTACTGCTTTAGAACTCTGAAAGGTTTCTTCTTCCATTTTGAAGGTTCCTTTTCTTGAACTTCATGGAGAAAGCACAGAGTATGTGGGCCGTGCTGAGGATGCCATCATTGCCCTTTCTAATTATAGACTTCACATCAAGTTCAAGGAGTCTCTTGTTAATGTAAGTGATTACGAACTGTTTTCCCACTAAAGTAGATGGAGAAAGGAAGTAAAAAAAACTTGTTAATGTTCTTAAAGAGAGGAGTGTTATACACAGTGGGATGTGAAAACATTGTGTGCTCTGCTTTTCTCTCACTTAATTTAGCACTCAGGGGACACTAGGTTAACAAGCAACTCTTATGCTTGATTTAAAATGATACATATAGTTGTCAGCTGAATTGTCCATTGTTTAGTAACACCAAACGATTTGTACTGGGTAATGGTGTATCATTAAGCTTTATAAGGGTACAAAGGCTGTATAGGCTTTTATTCTTCAGTCTTTAGTACTTACCAACTGCCTCAGTTGAGTTAATTTCTGGGACCTTAATGTCAAATGATGAGATGTACTTTGAGCTCCATGCAGACTCTCATTATAGGATGAAGTTAATGCTAATGGCTTCTTAGTGGAATAAGCATGGATGTTAAATACAATGTTTATTTGCATAATGGACTGTATTACTGAAGAAAAGGGAGGCTCTCAGTTCTTAAGAGTGCATTTACCCTTTTCAGTTATATGAGGGTATTCTCAGTGAACTGGTTCTTCAGTGCACTGCCATCGTTAGTAGTTTTCAGTGAACGTGCCTTTCACCACAAAGATGATGCAAGTTCATGTACGTCCACCAAATGAATGCCTTCTTCCTTTTTCCTTTGCTAGTATTGTGGCTTTCTTCAGTTTGATTCTGGCACTGAGAAATGTATTAAGATGTTTTATAAAAGTCCAGGACTGTCCTTTCATTCAGACTTCACATTGTGTCTTTTGGGGTTCATTTTGGGACTCTTTGAAATCTGTCACTGAAGTTCATTTTACTTAGTGGTCCAGAAGTTACCTCCTTTGTCAAATTTTTTCATTTGTCAAAATGCTGCCATTTTTTTTGTAATTGGCATTTATTATTTATTATTCTTTGTAGGAAATATTTATATCCAGGAGCCGTTGTGGTCTGAATTCCTCCTGGCATCTAGATTTGGGCTATGATCATAGCTATTGCTGTCCATCAGCTAAAAATACACATTGGATTGATCAAGGAAAGAGGCATGCTGTGCATTCATACCATATAGCACGTATAGTGTTCAGAAGGGTCCATTTGATATTGGATAGTCATGATAGGAAGGAACGGGATGAAAACTCCTATAAAATCCTGGCAACCAGAAATTGCCTCCCAGCCACTGTGGAAGTAAGGACGGTAATAATTGGAATTGCCCAGTTTAATCTTTTGTTTAAATTGTTTATATGATTGGAATTAATGAAATTGTAATTAAATTGCATGGGGGTTGATATAGTTTCATGTTACCATATTGTCCCATATTGTCCCCTATTTCTCGACTTACTGCCTTAGAGCCAGGTATTTGAGGCTATTTTTAGATCTATTTGGGAATAGGGTCTGTTGGAGAGAAAGCATGGATTTGATCATGTCATTTTCCAGCCTAAGGCCCTTCAGTGTTTTCTTTACTACTTCTAAGGTGAAATTACTTAGCCTGGTATCAGGCTAAGTGGTGTGATCCTTGGTCTCTGCCAGCTTTTCTGTCAGTTTCTCTCTTTTGTATTATTAGTAAAACCACCCTCTTTGAAGTATTCAGCCACACTTCACACCTTTGAATTCTCTCTTCTCTCCTGCCTGGGGAATTTCTCTTCATCTGTCAAAACGCAGGTTAGGTGGTAACTTCTGTGAAGCCTTTCTCCGTTCCCTGACAGTTTGTTAACCCCTGTCTCTGACTTCTTCAGTGTCTCAAACATGCCTTTACAACATTTGCGAGATGTGTTATAGTTTTTTGGTTATTCATCTTTGTATCTTCGGAATTAGCATGTTTTCCTGGTGCCATGGTATTCAGTAAATACTAAGTGAATTGAAGTTAATATGAGTTTGAAATGGATATTAGACCATTTTAAAACCCCTTTTGGGTTTAAAGCTCATTTAAAAACAAATTTCTGTGTGACTAGGACTGTGTCCTCATCGTCTCTTAACAGTAGCTGTATGAGTAGGCCGTTTACTGGAATTGTTGATCCCCCATTGTGATTGAGGTACCGTGCTTAAGAAAACTTACCACTGTTCTTACTTTTGACCCATTTCCTCACCTAAAAGTGTTTTCTCAGCATAATAACCCTCTAAGGCATAGAGCCTGCATGTCATGTAAAAGTCCCAAGATAATGGCTTTGTACTCAGAAATGATTGTGCAAAAAGTATTTTGGCATTGTAGCAACTTTAAACATTTCAAATCGAGAGAGACTAGGATTTCTCCATACAAATAATCACATCACAGTGCTGAGGTTCCTCAACCTGTGGTTACTCCACAAAACAGCGGCTCTTCCTGTGCTAGGTTCTGGGTGGAGACCAGAGAGTTGGTGGTGTCGCCCCTTTCTTTCTTTCTTTCTTTCTTTTCTTTTCTTTCCTTTCCTCCCTCCCTCCCTCCCTCCCTCCCTCTCTCCCTCTCTCCCTCTCTCTCTCTTCCCTTCCCCCTTCCCTCCTCTCAGCAGATAAGTATTTCAGTAAAATACGTGAGATCAGGGGACTCCGTTTTAAAGGTTATAATATCTAAATCAAATACATTTCAACCATCAAAAGTCCAAATGTGCCAAGTATATAGTGTGGCATGCCTTGGTTTTGCATCATTTTGTATGCTTTTTAATCAACACATTTAGCACTTTAGAAAATGGCTTACCATCAAGTTTTAAATAGCTACCTGATACATATATTCTCTTTTAATTTTACAGCACATTGAATAAAACATGCCTGTAGATTTAGATACCATAACATCATTACTTCAAACATATTCATTGGGTATCAGGTTTCCAAGTCCTAGAATAAAGAACGTCTATAGGAGAGTTCATTTGTAGCATTTCAGGTATGAATTGCTCCCATTCTGTGCTTTTCCCAAACTGTATTTTTAAATATGTACAGGTATATTTCTTTGCTGAGCTCATTTATAAACAAGTAAGTGTTCAAGGGGAATTCATGAAAATTTAAAACAATTTTTGTTGTGTAATTCAATAGACTGCCTCTCAGTCTGCTGCTTCTGAAATCCCAGTAAGTAGCATGAGAATCTTAGGTGGTTTTTGCACCTGTGCTTTGGAACAAGTTGGTTTTGACTGTCAGATGCTCACCTTGCAAAGCAGCAGAATTTGTGCTCTCTGCATGAGTCCTTTCCCTTTTACTAGACAAAGTGCTAGTGGTACACTATGATGAGAACAATTTGTGGAGTGAGAAAAAGCCCCACAGTTTATACATAAACAGATGGAATTATGATCTTCAAAAAATGTAAAGTGAATTTCAACTAGGAATAATTTGTAAAATCAACATTAGTATCTAAAAGGACATTAGAACTTCTATTTCCAGGCTGGTCTGTTAATGCTTTTGAGGAAAAATGTGCAAGTGTAGCAGCTGCAAACACTTTCTTTAGCATTTTTTCACATTTTTTTCATTGTCTAACTGTAGTACAGCAAAAGTCTTTATTCCCCAAGCATCAGAAGGAGGTTATTGTTAACCCTTCATGCACCTTGGCCACAGTATTCATATGCCAGCAGAGGTTTCTGAATCAGTGCTGGAAGAGCAGTTTGTAAACATAAAAGGTGAGCAGTAAAGAGTTTGGATCTTTAACCTGTGACACAGTCTTCTTCTGACTGGTTTTTATATAAGATTTAGGGTCCAGATATTCCACAGCTTATTACAGATTTTAGGTTTAGACTCATTATTCTCACTCTGTTACTGCCATTTTTAATTCAAATGTATGTACAGAATTAGTACTTTCTGTTCAGGCTATAAAAAGGGCATTGTTTTTAAAAGGTAGAAATATCCCACTTTTAAATTCTGGTGCTTAAAAATACTGCACATGTGCGTGTGCACACACACACCGAGAAAGAATTAAAGTAAACATACTAGGGAATGATGACATAAAATTCCCTCTGGAGTGAGACAGTATGGATCTTTGATACTGTGCATGTGTGTTACAATTTTTAACTGCTGCTCTTCTGCTTTTTGAGGTTGATGCTCTTATGAATTTTGGTGTCCGTGATGTAACTGTTGGCCTTTTGAGGAATTAACAGCACTGAGTGTGTTTGATGCATTGTTTTGAGCATGAGTTTGGTGGAGATTATATAAGAGGAAAATCACTGTAAAGGAAAATAGAATTATCTGGCAGGAAGAAGGTAGAGGAGAAAGGAGCAAAAAGAAAATGAATTGCTACAAAACACTGAACCAGTGGGCTAGGGAGGATTTGAATGTGACTTTAGATTTCTTCCTACTCTTCCATGGATAGAACTGTCCATAAGGAATCTGGTTTAGATTCTATTTTCCTCCTAAAGGTCCTTGGTGGAGAGGGCACTTAGTTCTGAGAGAAATATTAAAGTACAGTTCATACAGAAAGGAGGGGCAATCTTAAAGGAAGAAAGAAAGGTGCACCATTTTAATGGAAGGAGCCTAGGCTAGAAGACAGACATGGATTCCGGTCCTATCTTTGCCACTAGCTTTTAGCGTAGAAGCTTAACGTCCCTGGGCTATAAAATGGCTTGGATTCAGTGGTATAGATTGAAGACAGTCTATAATTGTTTGCTAATGGGGTTGAATATGGGGTTTGCCTGGTTACAGAAATGGTAAGAGATACTCTTGATGTGTGAGGAAAATTTAGAAACCTAAAGCAGTGGAGCAGGCCTTAAAAAACAGTAGAGAAAGTGTGTTTTGGTTGGATGTATAAGGAAAAGAAGGCCTGTTCTGCCTGTTTGAAAGAGAAGGAGGCAGTCTGGAGGGAACTTGAAGGGGACATTGGGGTAGAAAGGAGAAGAAAAAAGGGAGTTGTTCATTTGTTATATAAAATCAGATATTTCTCTCTTATATGTCTCTTTTTTTATTGCTGCATATTAAATTTGCATGTGACAATCTGCATGAGCATTAAAATCTGTTTTCCGTATCTATGACTTGAGTACACGTGGTTGTTTCTGGCAACTTGCTAGTAGTATCTGCATACTAGCATCTGGTATTTTTATCCTTCTTCCTTAAATTTGTGATGTTAAAATGTGTGAAAATTTGCATATCGAATGCATTTTAGGTAGCAAATATTTTGCATGCTCTGAGGTGTTTCATTATTCTGGAAGTCTGGACACAGGCGCTTGGGGTCTGATCCGACAGTAGGGGATGTAAAGCTTATCTGTTCTTTGTAGCACAGCACAGGCTTGTTCACTCCCTCCAGCAGTTGCTAATAGCATTAGTTTTCAGATTTTGTAGTTATAAGGAAGGTGACTGAAGGGGACCTGGGATGCAGGTGACTTCTGAGAGAGCAGCCTCCCCATGCGGATTTGTAAAGCTACTCTCACTCCACTCCAGACTCTTCCTATTCCCTCTGCCTGGGACTTCCTATGTTGTGACCATTTGATATTCAGAAAACAGAGGAAGGTTGAAAACTGGTCCAAGGAAGTCAGGAAGTAGGCATACTTTTAGTTGGTAAAATTTTAGAAAATTGAAATTAGAATTCAGGCCTCTTGATTGCCATTCTTGCAGCCACTTTTGGGAAGGAAGGGAGAAGGGAAGGGGAGGTACATTAAAACAAAACAAATACGTTATAAGGGTCTGTTGTAGGGCACCCAGAGGACTGGCCTGCAGACAAGTCAGTGTCCTCCTCCAAGCTCCATCTTTTTTTTTTTTTTTAAAAGTTTAGTTATTTGAGCGAGAGAAAGTGACAGCATGCATGTGCACACACAACCTTGGGGAGAGGGGAGGGAGAAGCAGACTCCCCCCTGAGCAGGGAGCCTGACATGGGGTACCATCCCAGGACCCTGGGATCATGACCTGAGCTGAAGGCAGATGCTTAACCGACTGAGCCACCCAGGCGCCACCTATCTCCATCGTTTAAATCTGTTCTTCCTTTACAAATTATCCCTACCCATTGGTACATGTTGTTGTTTTTTTCCTTCTGAGATGTACAGGTCTTGAAAGAATTTTTAGCTGCATCAGCTCTAGTTTCTCACAGCACCTTGTGGTTAAGGACTTAAAAACAGAGGGCCAAAGTTCCTTTTTTCTCAGAACACAAGATTTCTTCACTTACTCCCAGTCCTATTATAAGTATAGGGGAATTTTGTAGATTATAGATTTAGAACTAAGCAAGAAGGCTCTGGTCCTGAGATAGAAACTCCCATTTTCTATATATTATTATTTTGCTTGCTTCTCTTGTTTAATTCCTGCCCCAGTTTCTGTTTCTTGTCCCAGACATCCAGCACTGGGCTTCTTTTTGATTCTCACATAATTGTTCTGAGAGTTCTCTGCTGACTCTGGCAACTTCATGGTGGGGCAGGGTTTGCAGGAAGCCTGTTTCTGAAACTGGCGCAGCTAATATGATGGCCACTCTGTGCAGGCAGCACTCTTGTTTCTCTGTTGGAGACTGCCTGTCTCTTCTCATGCTAAACCATGAATTGTTGGAATGCTACTTGGAATTCCCAGAGCTACATTTTGCCTGGGCATGATATAGTATAATAGACAGTGGTCTACTCTTTCTCTAAGGAGTGAGTATATCCACAATTATTTTACCAGGCTCTCTTGAGAAGTCTTGGAAATTGCTTTTTGAAACCAAGGGTTGAGTCAAAGTGAATTGAGCCAAGAGGGGGAGGATTCTCATGTCAACTTGAAGATTTGTCACCTGTTCGGATGCTTTCCCTATCTGCCTCCCTTCCCTTCTCCCAGCCCTCTCCACTCTTGTCCTTACTTCTGTGTTCAGTAGAGTCTGCTCACCAGATTGGCAGGGAGAGAACCATTCCAGCTTGCGCATACCTCAAGCCCCACTTGGCAAACAGGGATTTTCCTGGTCTTTGGATCAAATTAGACCTAGCTAGTTTTAGGACCTTTGACCGCTGTGTGGCCTGCTCTCTCCTTTTTGATGTTTATGGGTCTATTCTGCTGAGCACAAAGTCTAACAAGCAGCCACGTCTTTTCTGTGCAGCTTGCGGGCAGTTTGGATCTCCAGTCTTTTTCAGGATGTTCCTTTGCTGACACAAAGCCACAAGCCCACTTTGTCATTTGGGGTAAATAAGGGTAGTCCTACTGTCACCTTGATCGGCACTTTTCTGTAAACAAGACAAGATTACCCTTCTGGTTCCCTTTAGCTTCTTTGTCGTTGCAAATCACAGCTAGCTGCAGTGTGTAAAGTAGTACTTGGAGAGGTGGTGAGTTTGATACTTGAGAGATGACATATTTCCCTGCTCTTTCAGAGGCGGTGCCTCCTCTTCATTCCTTGTCTTCATGCGCAGACATGACTTAAGGCTGTTGATTTAGAAGAAAAGGAAGGGAAACCCTCATTCACTCAGTAGTAAATCATTTGAATACTACTGATTCAGATAAATTTGCAGTTCTGTTTGCTGCTTTTTCTCTTGTAGAGCTTTTGAATCTTGTTGGACACATTGAGGGAACTGCAGGATCAATGCCTTCTTGACTAAGGGGACTTCATCTTTTTTAATTGCAGGTTCCATTACAGCTTATAGAAAGTGTTGAATGCCGAGATATATTTCAGCTTCATTTGACTTGCAAAGACTGCAAAGTTATCAGGTATGTGATGTGTTTATGCTGCTTTTTAGTGTGGAAAATATGTATTTTTAAAAGAATGGATTCATGGTTTGTAACAGAAAAACAGCTTTTGAGGGTCAGCCTTGTTAGGAATATTTTCTGAGTAGTTAGTGCCTGAAATATTTCATCTTTAGGCTACTTTCCTATTTGAAAGTGATTTTTAAATTTTTTACTTGGAAATAATTTCAGATTTACCAACAGAAGTGCAACAATTAAAATATTACAGAGAACACCAATATTAACATTTTACCCCATTTGCTTTATTGTTTGCAGGGGTTGTGTGTGTGTGTGTGTGTGTGTGTGTGTGTGTGTGTGAGAGAGAGAGATTCTTTTTCTGAACAATTTGAAAGTAAGTTATGTAATCCTGGCTTTTCACCCTGAAATACTTTGGTGTGCTTTCCTAAGAATAGGGATATTTTCTTACATAACCATGGTATCATTATCAACTTCACAACTTCACACTCCTAATACTTTTATCCAGTCTTCTATCCATGTTCCAATTTTGTCGCTTGACCTAATAATGTCCTTTATAGCATTCCTCTTAGCCCCACCTTGTTCAGGACTGGATCCATGCAAGGTCAGGTATTGCATTTAGTTGCTATGATTCTGTAGCCCTCTTTATTTTTTAAAAGATTTTATTCATCCATTTGTCAGAGAAAGAGAGAGACAGCGCGTGCACAAGCAGGGGGGAGCGGCAGGCAGAGGGAGAAGCAGGCTCCCCGCTGAGCATGGAGCCTGATGTGGCACTTGATCCCGGACCCTGGGATCATGACCTGAGCCGAAGGCAGACACCTAACTGACGGAGCCACCCAGGCGCCTCTGTAGCCCTCTTTAATCTAAAACATTTTTCACTACCTTTCTTTGTCTTTTATGACATTCACATTTTAAAGAATATAATCTTTAATTGAATTTTTCTCATTTTGTGTCTGTACAGTGTTACCTCATGATTAAATTGAGGTTGTGTATTCTGGGCTACAGTACTGTACGTGTGAGGTTGTGTTCTTCTCAGGGTGCTCTATTATATCTGGAGGCAAGCAGTGTCCATCTGTCACTTATTGGTGATATTAATTTTGATCACTCTTGTTGAGGTGTCGCTTTCTGTATAATTTCTACATTTTCTCCCTTGCAACTAATAAACAGTCTGTGAGAGGCGCTTTAAGACAATGAAAATATCCTACTTTTCATCAAGTTTCTCCATTGATTTAACATCCATTATGGTTTTTATCTGATAGAATCTTTACTATAATGATTGCAAAATGATGCCTGAAATGTGTTTTTAAATTTAGTAGCTCTAGAAGTTCTAAATTCCCTTATCTCTTTGACTAATTTTGGAGTGCCAGTAAACACTGTGTGGCATACTGATGAGCCACATTGATTGGAATGAGGGAGAAGTGGCCTTCTTGGTTTTAAGGTATATAAGTTGCCTTTTAGCCATTGAGATTTGGTTTGCTTTCTAACTACAACTCATATTTAAGAAGCTTGTTTATTAATTACTCAGTTTTAAATACTGTCTGCATTTGAAAAGGTGAAGTGTTTTTTGCCCTAATTGAATCTAAAGCTACGTACCCAAAATTACAGTTCGTAATAGAATTGTTTGGTTCTCTACATGGTCACAGCTGAAAGTTTCAGTGTAATATATCTTATTTTGGATCTGTAGTTTCTGATTTATTCTAATTGCTAAGTAGAGAGATTTTGAAATTATTATCAAACTGGCCAAAAGTTGTGCTGTGATTTATTTTTGAGTTTGGCCTGATAGGTTATAACAAAACAAAAAGAACTTCTCTTAAACCTATTTCTTGATGACCTTTATAAAGCTTTGGTGGAAGATGTAGAAGGAAATCTTACTCATGAAAGAGAAGACTGCCATTTTACTTTAATAATTACCATTAATCTCAGAAGCAATTTCACCAGCCTAAAAAATAAGTTTTCCACATGTCCATTTTTTTTTTCTTTTTGACATTTTGCACCATTGGCTAAAATTTGTTGGACCTCTTTTTATTATAAATGATGAACATGCAAATGGCCACCTCTGATGCTTTCTTGACTATAGTCACTGCACCAGGAGGTAGGCACTCTTGAAATGGTAGCTTCCCTTAGGTTTGTCAGCTGTCTGCTAATTACATCCATACTTGTTTGGCTTTACAAAGGTGTCAGTTCTCAACCTTTGAGCAGTGTCAAGAGTGGCTCAAGAGACTGAACAATGCAATCCGACCACCTGCGAAAATAGAAGATCTCTTCTCATTTGCATACCACGCTTGGTGCATGGAGGTCTATGCCAGTGAAAAAGAGCAACATGGAGACCTGTGCAGACCAGGTAGACCTTTCTAAAATGTGCAAATGGTGGCTTTTTTGAACTACTGTTTGAGGTACCCTTAACATGAAATGGGGCTCCTAAGCATACATGTATTCATTCAGTGTATATTTTATGGAGCACCCAGCATGTGCTCATCACTTTAAGCTTAATAGAACATGTTTCCTGCTTTTCGGGGGAAGGGAAGAACACTAGATTTGGCATCACCATCTTCTGGGCCTAAAAACAACTATAGTAAGGTTTAATGGGTATTGTAAAGAAGCCTAATGGAAGGGAGCCATGAGTGTTGTAACACATTTGGGAAGACTTCACATTCAAAGTAGCTTTTGAGTAGGCTTTGAAGGTGGAATAAGGAAGGGTTCATTGATTAGAGAAAGGGGGAAAATGTTAACACAAGTTTCATGAACAAAGGTCCAGAGGTATGTGAGGGTAGGGTGCAGAATAGTGGCATATCTTCTTATTTTCAAGTCAGAGATTTCCTATCATCACCCCTTTTATTTCGTAAGTGATGAAACAGAGGTCTAGAGAGGCCAGGTGACTTCCCTCAGGACAAACAGAGAAGCTGAGCCTGTGCTGGAGCCCAGGCCTCCTACCTTCCCAGGAGATCTTTGTTCCACTCTGTCTTTCTCCCTCAGAAATGGCTTGGATCAAGTTCATGTTATTTCTCCACATGTATTTGTCTGTAAACTTTATGCTGCCATAAATAGAACTTTGCTGGTCCAACACTCAATCTTTAGTATGTCCAGCCTGGAAGCAAAGTTGAATTTATAAGCAGTGAAAAGTTATGAGCCTCCTTCCAATTCAGCTTACCCTTAGGACTTTTTTCTCTAAACCTCAGTTTTTAATCCTGAATTGTCAATCTTAACCGTTCTGCCCTGCGTCATTTTAAACATTTGAGGCTAATCTAGCTTTGCTTGCATCAGTTTGGTTTCCTGGCTCATTCACTGGTTGAAGTTTTTGGTTCATAATTAAAATATAAGCATCATCTTATTTTTAAAGATGCTTTGATACATACTTTTGTTTGACCCTCATGACCTCATCAAGCAGGCAGGGTAGCCTGTGTCTCTGTTTTGGGAGCCAAAGAAATGGAACTTAGAGGTGAAATCTGCTGCCAGGTCCCACTGCCAGTCAGTGACAGAGCTAGGACTTAACCCCAGTTTTCAGCTATTGAGAGTTGCCTGTGTGGGGTGCTGTGGATGCAGAGATGAAAAACAGGCATTGCCCTTGTGGAGCCACAAGGAAAGCCTCAGGAATCCAAGCTACCCATGAGCTTGGTCAGGCCAGTGAAACCCAGAGTCAGCCATAGGAATCCACACCATCCTTGAAAAGGGTATGAGAATGTGCTTAAACTGTGTTTGACTTCACTCCTTCATCCATTGCATCTTTTTCTTTTTCCTTCTTTATTGACATGCCATTGTATTTTGTTATTGTTGTTTATGGCTCTTTTCGTTGTTTTTTTTTTCCCCCCAAGGTAAAATTTACATACAGTAAAACGCACAAATCTTAATGTAGTTTTGCTGAATTTTTAGTCTTTTTCCTAGGATAATGAAGTTAGTGAGTTATATCTTGCTGCATGATGTTGGTTAGTCAGCAAGGCTTGCTTTTTCTCCTAACCTCCTTTTGTCACAACTACAGACTGAAAATTCCTCATCTGTTTAGATGACTCCTTATTCCCTTGATAAAATTAGTTTCTTTTGGATTTGAGCCATCTCTTAGGATATTGCTAAGGTGTGCCAGGTCAGAACTTCACATGACTCTTTTAATTATGGATGGCCATGTCTTGAGCTGGGATGACTTCTGTCCCCAGATCCTTCCCTTCCTGATGATATCTGGTATTCTTTGGCCACCAGAACATACAGATGTCCACAGTGTTCTCTGTCTTTTCATTAGTTTGTGATGGATGGAGGTATTTGGGGGGTAACATACTAATTTAAGAACTAGGGAGCCTGAATTCAAACCCATACTTTATCATTTAATTAAAAAAATAATACTGGGCAAGCCATATCTTCTTTGTACTTTAGTTTCCTTTGTTCTTCAGACTGGGACATTCCTTTTCTCCCTGCCCAAGCTGATCTGGGTATCCTGAAGATCAAATTTGTTATTGCTGGAGAGTTAAGTTCAGTAAATATCTGAGTGCTTCCTATGTGCCATGCTTGTCAGAACATTTTGGAAATTATGACTATACAAGGTGATGCCATTGTAACTGATGGGTTGGAACTTTGTGTGTGAAGGTTGTATTTTGTTTCTTCCTAATATGTCACAAATCCACACTGAAGTTCACCTGCTGCCACTTACATGGAATCTTACTGTACTTCAGTGACTTGGTTTGAGTTTGTTTACATGTATGGCTTTTTCCTTTTTATATATTTTCACTGTGGAGTACAGAGGGGAAAACTTGCTCTTAATAAAAAATACCATGGTGGCATTTTTAAAGCCAGTCAACCTGGTTCTTCTGTCTCCACCCAATATTGTTGAGTGTTGGTGGTGGCTATAACATTACTCATCAAGTAGGAGCATACCAGACAACCACATTCTTATAAGTCATCTTTAGGGTGAGACAACACTTGAAATATTTCAAAGTGATGCCTTTGTATAATCTCCAACATATGAGATCATAAGCATAGACTCTGAAAGGCTGAAGTTAGTCTTTTAGCAGTTAATAAAGCCTTTTATGGATTCTTCTCTGCCTACTCTGAGTAGAATGTGTCAGAAAGTAGGGAAATGGGAAAATTGCATCATTACCTTGTATTTGTATAAATCTTAAGTTTCTGACTGTTGAAGCTGTCATAGTTAAGCCAGCCATATGGTGGCCAAAGCTCTGAGTCTTAATCTGCTTTGGAAGAAGTCTCGATATTGCTATTGGAATTTACCTGTGAAACTTGCAAAAGTCTTGGCAAAACTCTTGACTTGACTCTTAGACCCATTTCAAACTCTAAAAAAGGAATGGACGGAAAGCTTAAAGCTTCTCTCCCATGTACTCAGTTTTCTTCTCTTCATTGTAACTGCCTTCTTGGTGATCATCCTGTACTTGAGCATTAAGCAGGGGTCCTGACAAATGATTGGGCAATTTAGTTACTAGTTTCGTAGCATCAGGCCCATCTCTCTGACCTCTCTTCTGTGAAATGCCCATTAAGCAGATCTTGTTTAACCATGAACAGCATAGGACTCTGGGTCTTAACAACTGTTGTGCAGCTGCCTGTTTAGTATAAAGTCAAAGCCCTTGTCATTAGAGTCTTACGAGTTTGAACAAAGTCCAGTACGTGTACATTTAGATGACTGTACTGGGACCTTTGTTCATAGAAAAGAATGATTCCTCCTTTCATATTTGAAAATCTGGGAGGGCTGGTTCTTACCTTCTCTGACTCTGGTACAGTTCTTCTTCCTCACATCCTGGATAGAAGACTGGCTCTTCTATCCCAGACCTTTAGGCTTTGTATAATTGTGGGCTTGAATGCTCAGAATCACCCAGGGAGCTAGACTTTTGGGGGGAATTTTTTTAGACTGCCTATTGACACTGGTTATGATAGAGGGTCTCATTTCTTTAAAAAGGTTTTTATTCCCACTAAAATAAGAATTGCTGGACTGTTTGCATTTGTTGTACAAGAAATACTAAACATTAAAAAAGGACACATCCTCATTTGGGGGTGGGAGGAGGGCAGACAGCAGGGTTGAAATGGAAATTCAAAGCCAAAGAAACTTACAACCATAATATTTAAAATGGGATATTATAGTATATTTAGTATTGAATCAATGGAAACCTAAGAATTCTTAGAGGGAAATTCTTAAGGGAAATCAGCAAATAGATATGCTTGGCATTAACTTTTCTAGCTGAATAAACATAAGGGAACTTCTAACACAATTTGGCAAAAGCCAATTGAATTACTCATGTATTTAAGGTCTGTTGCTAGTTTTTTTTTTTTTTTTTTTTAAGCATTGCTTTTCAAACTAAGTTGTGATCCACTTGTGGGTTGTGAAATCAAAAGTTTTAAGGAATGAAATATAAAATGAAACATGTAGGATAGAAAATATCAAAATGTATCACACGTAGTAAGGGTGGGTAGTTTTGTGAAACTCTTTTAAAAATAAACATGTATTGGATTATGATGTAAAACCTAATTCTTATTTGGGTTGTGATAGTCAGTTTCAAAGTTAAGAACTCACTGTTTTAGAGGATACAAAGGTAATTAAAACTCCTTGTTCTCAAGGAACTTGAATAACATGTTTTATGTTTGCTACACAGTATATATTTCTTTGTGTGGAGCTCAGAATTTCATGCTCCTGATGGTGGTTCTAAGCTTTTCTTTGGGCAAATTGCCAGTGATGGAGGTGGTGATTTGCCAGTGATTATTTTAAAATTAGAGGGTCCTTTTAGGGCATCTGTGTGGTTATGCTAAGATTGGAGGTACTAATGTTAAGAGTCATTAATTAAATACTTTTACCTTTTGCAAAGACTTTGGAGCTGTATTACAGGTGGGAAAAATCTCATTAATTACTGAACTTGGAAATTGTCATGGTTTTAGTTTTTAGATTGGGATTAAAAGTGAAGGACTCTCTAATATTCTTGATGGTCACTATTCCTTACAATTTGTAGACAGATGGCACTCCATTTCAGATAGCTTTTTTCCTATTTGAGAGCCTACATCATGTCTAAAACTTTTCCAAATGGGATTCATTCAGCTGATTATTTCTTCCTGAATCTCTGCACCTCATCTTTTTATAGCTCTCCTTCAGGAAACATATAATACCTAGTTAAAGCTCAAGAAAAGCAGTTTAAATGGGAAATAGTTTTATAGAATTGTCCTTCATTCAAGTAATTGCTGTTTCCTATTCTGAAGCTCCTTTCCCAGGGAGAGCAAAGCTTTATACTTTGATCACCAAAGCAGTCTAGTCTGCTTTGTGCTTTTATTTGTTATTGTAGTTTCTCCCAGCCCCCACCAGCATTTATTTTACAACCTGTAACACTACATATTAGAGATACTGCTTAATGGTTTTTTGTTTGTTTTACTGCCCTAGGACTCTGTGTGTTTTCAAGGAAGAAAGTTATTTCAGATTTAATGACTTTTATGTTAGGTTCACTTTTGCATTTGTTGCTTGCTGTCTTTAGGAAGAGAAAGCTAATTTCATTAGGGCAAATGTAGGCGGGTTATACATGTTTGGATGGATATTCTTACAAATGCTTAGCACTTTACTTAGTAGTATGGTGTTTCCTGGGATTCCTGGGTACTGGCAGTTACAGTTTCATGATCTCTTATCTTCAATTCCATAATCTATAAGGCTCTGAAAATCAAAATATTTCTCTTATTTGGTGGCTTGACCTGATCTGAGTTGACATGAAGCTCTTTGCTGCTTTACTTATTCCAGTTAGTGTGAATTATCCATGTATTCACTGTAGAAATATTAATGTTTGATTAGTAGACCCTGTTGAGAATGTTAATCTAATACTATATTATATACACCATCTTAAACTCCAGAAAACTCAAGTTTTGAAATCTGGCCCATAGGGTTTCTTATGAGGAGTTGTAGATTTGTGTTACTATTCTTGGTGAACTCGTTGATTTTATCTTTTATATATACTGTGAGTGTGGAAATAGCAGAGTAGCCAGTATAGTGACAGGGACTGGGTTTTGGGACCAGACAGATTTGCCATAATAACCTCTTTCAGTTTCATTTTTATCCTCTGTAAAATGAACTCGGTGATAACCTCTCTGAGTTGGTAGTAGTGATTAAATGAGATAACAGTTCTTGATCAAAATTCTAAGATGTGGGAACAACCTAAGTGTTCATCAAGAGATGAATGGATAAAGATGTGGCAGATGTGCACGTGGGTGCATGCACACACACACACAGGAATATTACTGAGTAATAAAAAATTTGCCATTTGTGACAATATGGAGGGACCTAGAAGTTATTATGCCAAGTGAAATAAGACAGACAAAGCATCATATGATTTCACTTATATGTGGAATCTAAAAACGAAGAAACAAAAAAAAAATAGACACATTCATAAATGCAGAGAACACGCTGGTACTCTGGTTGCTAAAAGGGAGGGGTGGGCAAAAATGGGTGAAGGGGATTAAGAGGTACAAAGTTCCAGTAATAAATATGTCAAAGGCGATGAGGTACAGCATAGGGAACATAGTCAGTAATACTGTAATAACTTTGTATGGTGACAGATGGTACCTGCACTTACAGTGAGCATTTCATAATGTGTGTCATACACCTGAAACTAATGTAAATTATATTAGCTGTATTTCTATTAAAAATTAATTTCCTCATTCTTTTGTGTAGTCTTACCCTGACAGGGACTTTTCAAACTAAAACTAAATGTATGTTATTTATCTAACTGAGCGGGGTAGCTATGCTTTTATTCTACCTGTTTTGCAAAATGGTATTAATTTCTTTCTTTCTGCTGCCCTTGGCCCCTAGGGGAGCACGTAACGTCAAGGTTTAAAAACGAAGTGGAGCGGATGGGTTTTGATATGAACAATGCTTGGAGGATTTCCAACATCAATGAGAAGTACAAGTAAGTTGTATGGGTGCCTGTGGACTGTGTTTCACGGCCAGTACCTTTGCAAAAACCCCAGTTCTCATGTGGCAGAACATTTGAACTTAGACATAGACATATTTTTTCAATGGAATTTTATTTATTAAATCTAACTGCGTGGTCTTCAGGGTACTTCGTGAGTCTTCTGTTCCCATTGCTGTCACTGGAGTGGAAAAATGATATTTTGTAGGATTCTGGAATCTTCCTTTCCATCCCCTCCAGACCTCTGTTCTTCCTGGTGTGTGCATTTCCTAGACAATATTGTGTTCTCATGTAGGCAGGCAGTTTCCATTGGTCTCTTCACCACTTGATGTCACATTGGAGATAGAATCTGTGATCTCACAAGCAGTGATAAAACACTTAGAAGCTAGTTTTTATGACTAATTTTACTCCAGATTCTATGAAGTAGGCATAAGTACTATTCTGTTCTAACTTCATAGCTATGACCATTTAATCATTAAATATTAATGTAATCACTATTAAGTATTTCCCATTTCTTGTTTCCTTAAAAGGTGTAAGTACTTTGGTGTGTGTGGGGGGGCAGTTAACTACTATGATTTTGGTGGTCCAGATTTCTATAAAACAAAAAATTGTTCAGGAGATTTAGATTAATATTTTTCTCCTCTTAAGATTCCCTCTAGCAGTTGGAGGCATTAATTATTGTTTTTTTTTGAACTGCCTCGAATTATGATAGCCAGTTTCCTGGTCTATTTGTGGGTAGCCATCAGAGCATTTCGTTTTTCATTGGAAAAACTATAGCTGATTACTGTATGCAGCTCTTAACGTGGACATTGGCCAAGGAATTAAGAACCTGGGGTGTTGTGAAGAAATAGGAGCTACAGACCTGTCATACCTTGCCTATTCTCAGTCACAAGCCAAAGCAGAGAAGGGAGTTGGAGACTGGAGGCGAGGCCTCAGAGAGCCTGAGACTGCCACAGGCCCTGTTCATATATAGCCCTCCTTTCCTATGCTAGAAACTGCTTATCTACATGTAAGCAGCTAGTATTTGCTAAAAAGGTGACTACTAGATAATGTAATACTTACAGGACAAGGAATATTGGGTGAAGTCAGAAAACCGAGTTAAGCTAAACTTGTTGGAAAAAAAAAGAATTCAAAAGCCATTTGGTTTTCAAAATCGCTATTCAATATGGGTTTTAAAAATTAATTTTTGTCTTTGAGTCCACTATTTCTACCTCAAAACCAGTCTTCAGGACATTGAAAAGTTCTTCCTACTACAAAGAAGGAGAGCTAAATTTACTGTTAAGTTTTAAACAAGATAAAAGAAGACAAAAGAACAGGACTTGTGGTTAGCATATTAACTATGCTCACAGTGTCCCAGGTCATTTTTAGGAGTTTGTGGGTGTAAGTTTATGAACTACTCTTGGTCGTAGACATTCTCTTCGTTCATTGGCTTTTAAGTTCCTGATATTTAATCTTCTGGAAATTGAGAACACGATGGAGATGTTTAGTGCAGAATGGTCAAAACCCCCAATTCCTAAGCTACTTGGTGATGGAGATATTTAGTGCAGAATGATCAAAACCCCCAATTCCTAAGCTACTTGGTGTTTTCTGCCTCTTCCCCCAATGCATAAGGTAGGCTAGGGCCAGACGGTGGTGGTGCAGGAGAGGGAGGAATTTGTGTATTTTAAGATTTGGATTAAAGGTCTTCTTGCCTTCACTGTTGAAAAGGAATATTGGGATACCCGTAGAGAGATACTGTCCTATAAGTGAAAAACCTGTCAGAAAGAACTGCTTTTTAGGGCACCAGCTTGACTAGCATGCAGTTACTGGCTTCCTCCCTAATGAAAAGAGCTTTTTCCCCCCTTGAATATAATTCTGAATTATGTTTTATAGAAATTATGACTACTAACTTATTCACATTACTATCTTGGGTCAGTGGGGCTGTGATTATATATGCAAATGTCCTGACTTATGGTACTGCTTTTGCATACCCATGCCTGCACCTGTTACCTATAATTAGGCTACATCAAAGAATATGTTAGTAATTCTATAAGGTCTCTGGAAACTTGAAATTTGGGCTTTTGTCCTTCACATGTTTCCCTTTGACAGAAGCCTGAAAGAGTGAGGGAGTCTGATTGAGGTGACAGACTTTCACTTCTGCAGTTGGACTGTGCACTTTGTGTAGTTAGGAAATTACTTGTATGTTAGTTACTTCACGGTAACTTTCTGTTGTAACAAAGTAACTGCCTGTGGACTCCCCTTATATCACAGATGTTAAGATCACCAAATTTCCAAAAGCAGCCTAAAGTGGAACAGTCCAAGATAGTATCACGCGACATATGCATAAGTAAACACCTAAGGCGACTAGTTCTGCTGAGTAGGCCAAGACTCAACTAAAGCTCCTTAATTGCCTTTTAACTGGTTCTGGCGTAGCTTGATCAACATCCTTATCCTGGCTCACCTCTTGTCTCTCCCTCTTCTCCCTCCATGCCTTCCTGTCTTCTTCCCCCACTTCCTCTTTCTCACCTTCCTTGTTAGGCTATGTGGTAGCTATCCACAGGAGCTTATAGTGCCTGCCTGGATCACCGACAAAGAACTAGAGAGTGTGGCAAGCTTCAGGTCCTGGAAGCGCATCCCTGCTGTCGTCTACAGGTAAGCAAGCCTGGCCAGGCCCAGCCCGGTCTGGCTGCTGTCCACTGCACGGGATCTGCTGCTCTGCTACCGCTAACCTGGGAAGGAAGGGAAGGGTTCAGAGACCTTCCCAGGCAACTGTGTGCTTCCTTTTATAGTTAAAGTCACTCTTCCGGTGACACACCAGTATTTACTGCATCCAGAACACTTGCTGATGGTTCAAGTGATAAGAAAAATTTAATAGGAAAGTGGCTCGTCTTGTATTTTAAGATCCTTCTGACATTCTACGGGAAGATAATGTGTTACTGCATTTAGCTTCCGACGGTGGTCTTTGGATTGAGAGAGAGGAGTTCCAGAAAGTGAGAGTTGAGTCATCTGTGATTGTTTTTGTAGTTGAAACTTTGACACATGAGAGAGTTCTGTTTTGAGAGGGAGCATTTAAAGAAGCCTAGGGCTTGGCTAGATAGAAGATCTTAAAGATCAAAGGCATGAGAGCCAAGGGAGTCAAGTTCTAGAACGAGATGGTGGCGTGATGTTGAGCACAGGTTTGGGAGTTCAGGTCTTTTCACTGATACTCTTGCTAAGGCACCTTGAGTAAATTCCCTGACCTCAGCCTGTTCCTAATTAGTAAAATGGGAATGATGGTCTTACTTTACAGGTATGCTGTGCCACTGAATGAATCTGTAAATATTGGGCTTCCCTAAGCAGTACATGGAGTAGGTTGTGTTCCTGGGGGCTGCTTTTATATATAAGTAATTCATTGACTAGCTCAGTTCTCAGTGTCTCATCTTAAAACTTGAAGAAGTCATTCCCTTTTATTTTGAAACTGTTTCAGATGTCATCTCTTTATAATATTTACATTCTCCATTTCATTTTTCCAGTTTGCAGACTTTTTGGGCTTTCCTTGAATTTGGGCCCAGCCAGTGGGGCTTACAGACTTTAATGCCAGGAAGCATTCCGTTGAAATATTGAGGTCATAGGAAAGGATTTATCTCCTTGTGGAATTTCCACTGAGGTAACCAGCTTGTCATTTAGTCCACTGATGGCAAATTCTGATGGCCGTCCTGAATAGAGAGAGATGAAAAAGTATTTGTTTCTGACCCAGTGGAATCCATTAAGTTTTCAATCTCAATTTTCATCACTGTTGTTTTCAGACACCCTAGAAAAGCAGGTCACCAAATTTACCTATCACTCAAGTGACAAGGATGACACAGGAATTAGAGAGCAGGGAAAGCTGAAAGGATTTGCATCTTATCCGTGATCGGCCCAGCTCAAATAGGGGAAGCAGCCCAGGCTGCTCTGTGGCCAGCCCCTGTGTTAGATCAGCAGCCCTGGAATTTGTAGGGTTTGCTGACTTTGAGCATCAGGGGGAAGGACTGTCATTTTCAAAGTACAGGGCTTTAGGTGAATTCTCCTTGTTGGTAGAGAACTCTGTAAGTGCAAGCTAAAGAAAAACTTCTTAGAATAAACAGGGGAAACCTTTTTTCCCTTCTAAAATTTATTCTAGAGGGCATGAGCCATGGGTTTTTTTCCCCAGCCCTTTCTAGAGACGCATAGTGTATATACAAATGAAATTTATTTTCAATTTCTCTGGGAAAACCTCTCAAAATTCTTGGTATTAAAAAAAAAAAAAAAGAACTTGGTATAGTCCACACAAAATCAGACTTCTAGGAACTAGCCTCTGTTTTTGGAACATGTGTCTTGTATCTCTGAGCTTCAAATTGGGTTGTTAAATTGTTGGGGAGCTTTGTAAGCGATATATAGAAGAATGTTTTGGGGATACTCTGCCACTCTCTGCTTTGCCAGCCCAGGTGGCAAGATGCTTCTGAATCCAGCATGAATTTATTTGTCTGTAGACTGCAGTGTTGATTCCTGAAGTTGCTAGCAGCAGTTACTTGACAGCACCACGCTGAACCAGTGCCTGATTAGTGTTTTTTTCCCCACTGTGATGAGAGAGTGTTTAATTGGGTTTATCACTGAAGACAGAGATTGCTCTAACACAGCAACATGGTGCAAAGGGCATCCATCTGTGGTGCAATTCACAGCTCCCCCCTTTGTGCATTGAGTGGTTATTGGAAGTTTCTAGTCCTTTAGTGAGCTTGCCTAATACTAACTTAGGGATAGTTTAAATATTTATGTATTTCTATATGAAATTGAAGCATTCAGTGTTAAGTAGGGCATCTTAATTTTTATACTTTTTCCTGGTTCTGTTTGTTAATATGGTAGAAATGCTCTTTAGTGATTTATTGTATTGTATTGTTTTAGTTCTTGATCATGCAGTCAAAAGCATTTTGGAAGACTGCAGAAAACTGCTTATTCCAACAGCTCAGTTGCAGTCTGGCTGTTAAAATGCATGACCCTTTAAACCCAAGATCCAAGCTGAAGAGTGCCATCTTCTGTTCCTCTTGGGCACTGCTGGGAGCATTGCAGAGAAAGAGGATGCTCAGGAAAGGCCTGCCAGCCTCTTTTATGAAGGTTTGGCATTGGTCAGCTCTGTTGTTTCCCCAGTGCCTGTTATATATGCTAGTAGGCATTTTAGGAATTAGGTTTTATTTCCCGTTGGGCTCCATTCAGCAGGTGAGCCAGTTGAGCATATTGGCAAGTGTTTTCTGTTACTTGTCTCTCTGTTCTGAAGGATTTAAAAACTACAAGCAAACTGATGGTTCCAGTGGAATATGGTTCTTGCTGAATTTCATTGATTGCTCGTGATTAGAAACAAAAATTGTTCTCACGTTGTTCCTTGAAGGTGACAAATAGATTCAATAGTATGTTTTATTTAAATCTATCTCCTACATATGTGTTATATGTGTGTATGAATGTATCTATTTAGATTTTTAAAAAGATTTTATTAATTTGAGAGAGAGCATGTGAGGTGGTGGAAGAGCAGAGGGAGAAGGACAAGCAGACTCTCTGCTGAGCTCGGAGCCTGACGTAGAGCTCCATCTTAGGACCCCGAGATCATGACCTGAGCCAAAACCAAGAGATGAACGCTTAACCGACTGAGTCACCCACCTGCCCCTGCATTTAGATTTTAATGGGAGATAAGACATGGACACTTCCTCTCTGGGAGATAGAATTGGGGGGCATTTAAATTTTTTGCTTACTACTTATTCTGTTTCATAATGAACTGATTACTTTTTATAACTTTTTAAAAACTACTTCATGATTGTCACAGTTCACCCCTTTAATGTGTACAGTTCGGTGATTTTTTAAAAATACATTTACAGAGTTGTACAACCATCACTACAAACAATTTTAGTACATTTTCACCACCTCAGAAAGAAACCCCAGACCCATTAGTAGTCAGTCCCTATCCCCTTCCCAGTCCCCGTAGCCCCAGGTCACTAGTAATCTACTTTGTTTCTACAGGTTTGCCTATTCTGGAACACTTCTAATAAATGGAATCATACAATATGTGGCCTTTTGTGACTGGCTTCTTTCACTTAGCATAACATACTCCAGGTTCATCCATGTTGTAGCATTTATTGGAACTTTATACCTTTTGATTGCCAAATACTACTTTTATAGCTTTTTAATTGTTAAAATTGCCTAATAAATTCCTAAGTAGGAAAAGACTGGATATTTATTTATTTATTTTAAAAGATTTTATTTATTTGACACAGCACAAGCAGGGGGAGCTGCAGAGGGAGAGGAGAAGCTGACTCCCTGCTGAGCAGGGAGCCTGATGTGGGGCTCGATCCCAGACCTGAGCCAAAGACAGATGGTTAACCAACTGAGCCACCCAGGCGCCCCAAGAGACTGGGTTTTAGTATCATCTTAAAGTAGACTTTTGAGTAAGATTTCTGGTCTTAATTTTTTAAAAAAGGATCTATCAAAAAATAAAAATAAAGGATCAGACTATGGCTTATTGAGGTTTATGCTGTTCCTTCTAAGAGCTTAAGGAAAGGTAGCTGGTGCATTGAGCTATCTGCCTATAATAAGAGCAATTTGTGAGTCATGAAATCTCAGGAGATTTTGTAGAGTAGTCCACTGTGGGCCAGGTATTTGTAGATTAGTTTTTTACCTGATTTTTCAAAAGTAAATTTTAAAGACTCTCAAACATTTAACCTTATGAATATAAATTTGTTTTTTCTAAGAGCACACATTTATCATTTTGTTGGTAACTTTACAAAGGTCTCTAAAATGATAAGATTTTCGAGAAAGATCCAGATAGGTTTTGTTGTTTATTCTTGTTACTCTAGATGATTTCTGCCCTGAGAGGACTTGAAGCTAACCCATCACTTACCTGTATTCATGCTCTTCATTAAGGCATTTAAAATCCACTACCTTACTTTTGTGTGATCACAGAGCATTGGAATGGGGCCACTGAGATGGAGACGATTGTTGTGTCTTGTTCCTTGCACAGGCACCAGAGTAATGGAGCCGTCATTGCCCGCTGTGGACAGCCGGAGGTTAGCTGGTGGGGCTGGCGAAATGCTGATGATGAGCACCTGGTGCAGTCAGTAGCCAAAGCTTGTGCCTCTGACTCCCGATCAAGTGGCAGCAAGCTGTCGACTAGGAACAGTTCTCGAGACTTTCCCAATGCGGGAGACCTTTCTGATGTGGAGTTTGGTAAGATGCTCCCTGGATCCAGTGGCAGCAATTTTTAGAGTATCTGTGAGAACTTTTTCTTGAATGGCCTTTTCCTTGTAAGACCTATAATTTGTTCCATAGGAGAGAGAGGGTGAAGCTTTAGTTGATGGGATTATTTGAGGAGTCATAGGTCTTGACAAAGAACCAGAAGACTTTCAGACTTGGCTTAAGAGGGCTAGTGTTGTTGGTTGTCTTTCTAGTCATTGTGACAAGAATAGGGTGTATATATATGATAGGGGACCTGGAATTTCTCCAGACCATGGCAGGAGACACCAGACTTCATTAAAAGACTATCCATGTAGACATGAGATAAAGGAGATTGTAGGCAAAACAGAAGATAAAGAGAGAAGTCCTATGTATCAAGGGTTCTGGTTAGGTGGGTTTCACTAATTGAGGTTTTTGTTTGCTTGTTTCTTGGTATGGCAATAGGTGTTTTGGGTTCTTATTTTGCACAATTCTGGGAGAGATGGGTTCATTTAGTTTTTCATCCCCACTCCTGATGTTCCTAGATTCTTCTCTGTCAAATGCTTCAGGAGCAGACAGTTTAGCCATCCAACCGCAGAAGCTTTTGATCTTGGATGCACGTTCCTATGCAGCAGCTGTGGCAAACCGAGCCAAAGGAGGAGGCTGTGAATGCCCAGGTGAGGTATATGGTGCTTTGTACCCTAACATTGTTCTCGTGAGTCCAGCCATGTCAAACTGGGTCTTAGTTCTGAATTTGAAATGAATGGCAAACCATGTTCCTCAGCCTATCTTGAGAGAGCCAGAGCTGTTTGGATTCTTAACACTAGTTTCTTTTCAGGGAAGAAATGGAGGAGGAGGTGCAGTGAAACCAAATAATCTTCCTTCCTAACCTTTAGGTGATAAAGTAAATCCTCTCTGTAATAAGGCCTGTTCATGTTAGGAAGCTGCTTCTTTGGTGGCTCAATTTCTCAGCCTTCTAAAAGATTTTGTTGCCTTTGACAGTGAGTTTACTCATCACTGACCTCACATAAAACTTCCCACATGGCTTCTACTTAGAAAACCTGGGGTGGAAATTGAAGCAGTAAATACAGAACTCTAGCAACGCACCTCTGTCCTGACCTATAGCACCCCCACTATTTGATTGCTGACTTTCTCCAAGGAGGGACCCGTTCGGTGCCAGTTGTGTGCTGATACAGCAGGTAGAGGCTCCAAGCTCTTTATTCGGATGTGATCTCAACTGGAAGTTAAAAGCAGTTGTATGAAGGTGAAATGTGAATGCATAAAATGCATTGTTCTGCCAGGTTCTTTTCAAAGAGATTCCAGAGCTGCAAGTTAGATGTGGCCCAGGAAGTCAACCTCGGGTGAGATGGAAGGCTTTAGATCTTTTCCTTAAAAAAAGAAGAGTTTCTGTTTTATGTCCATATCTTCACAAATCTAACTTCCCTTTTTGCAAAAACAGCTAAAATTCAAGCACTGTTTTTCCTTTCATAAAAGGACTAGACTAATAGGCATCAAAACATTGCAATTTCATTAGTCAGCAACTATATTGGATTTGCTTTATAGCCTGTTTAATGCTTTTAAATTTGGCCATGTGGACTTTAAATTCAACATATTTTTGTTCTCTTTATTGTTAATCTCTGCAGAGTATTACCCAAACTGTGAAGTCGTGTTTATGGGGATGGCAAATATTCATTCAATTCGGAGGAGTTTTCAGTCTCTGCGGTTGCTGTGCACACAGATGCCAGATCCGGGAAAGTAAGACCTTGGCCTTAGCTTTAATTTTGCATTGCCCCCCCCCCCGCCCCTTTTTTTAAATGAGTTTGGAGGTGTACACTTCAGTTTTACTTTTAGTCCCTGTGGGCCTTCTCCTTTCTGTGTTAGCACAGTAGCACAAAGGAGATGCTGGGAGAAAAATCTAGCCCTTTGAAAGGTTTAAGGATGTGGAGCACAAAACAGATCTCAGTCCTCAGAAGCCCTGCCTTCTTGTTTTTCCTGGGACCTCTTCTCTTCTACATTGTTTTTGGCTCATTTTTAATTCTTTCGTTTTTGATGTCCTGTAGGTGACACTTAATCTGCTGTGAACTGGGTGGGACATTTTACTTGAAAGTCAAAATTTATTCATCATGTTGTAAAAAAGGGTTAAACTTTCTTTAAACTTGCCATTCAGTGAATTCCTTTTACATTTGCTTCTGATTCCTAAACTACCCCCTCTTATTTATTAAGAACATTACCACATTTTTATTATTAAAAATGAATGGCTGGCATTTGTAGTGAGATAGGTGAAGTAACACTCCTTCCCCCTAAGGGAACTGGTTGAATACAAGATAAATTTAGCAGGAATGGTCTGTAAAACAAATACGGACAGATAAATATTTAAAAGCCCGTATTTTACTCTTTCAGGAAGCCAGAAATGGTGCCAGGGAAGACAGATTTTTCTCTTTTCTGGTGTTTGTGCTGGAGCCCATAGCTCTCTCCCTGGGTTCTATTCAGTAGATCTGATCACATCAAGTTTTGCAGAATTCCTTGATTTATTCAATCAGATGGCTGCCTGAATCACTTGTATGAACTCCTGGTAGTAAGTGATTAGATTCATCACAGTTGGAATCAGCCCAGAGGGTGAAGCGGTTGCCTTTGGGGAAAAAGCCTGACCAAAGAATGAGCTTGCTGCTCTGCTTTGGGGATTAGCAACTTGTATCTGCTACGCATTTACAGAAACCAGCTAGTAGTGCTCTCTTCCCCAGAGGTGGGGCACAGGAGCCTGGCTAAGGTCTCAGAAGATCTGCTACTAATTGTGTGACTTTGGCCAAGTGGCTTAATTACTATGGATATCAGTTTTCCTATTTATAAAATGATGAAAGGGACAGAATCAGTACTACCTGATCACAAATATCTTCCATATATTAAAATTCTTTCTTAAAAAGCTCTTTTTTAAATCCAGAGTCAGAAAGATGTAATTGGCCCTCACCTGGTCCACATGAATGTCTGGGGATTTTCTTAAGGAAAAAGGTAATGCTTTGCCTCTATTTGGCAGCAAATCATAAGGCAGTACTGAAGCCTTCCTTGTGAGTCAAAGGAAGCCCTGGTAGTGATATCAGCTATAATCAAGCCTCTCAACACTTGCTTGAGGCTGTGGAACCACAAATCCGATCACATTTTGGAGAAATCAGAGCTTTCGGGGGTGGGCATGTAGGGAGTGGAATCCATGACAGGGCACAAGAAACAAAATGTCAACACAGTTAAAAAGCATGATCAGCTTGTGATTACTTCAAGGGGTAATTCTTGGGATTTGATACTTCCTAAAGGTCTTTTCGAAAAAAGGTTCTTCTAGATCCCTGCTGAATCCAGTCTATGTTAAGTCCAGTAACACCATGTAGCGATTGGTATACTAATTTATATGAGTCTTCAGTCATTAGCTTGGGCTCACTCAGTTTTAGTCCATAGAAATTCAAGACTTCAGTGGTAGGTGTTAGGGTGTGCAGAGCAGGTGCTGTTGTCTGCACTGTTCTTGTTTGTGGCATCTGGCTTACATCTCCTTATAGGCATGTTTGTGTGAATTTTCTATGTTTTTTTTTTTTTTTTTAGAACTTGTAGGGCGTCGTTGCTGATCATTAAATATAAGTACCTTCTGTTTTACAATGTCGTAAGTGGCTTCATTTCCTTCAGAAGACTCCAGAAAGAACTGCTTATACTGGATATATAACTACCATGGACTGAAAAATACTAGATATTCTCAGAAACTAGCCATAAGATTTTTGGAACAAAAATTCTATTAATTACTGTTCTATTTCTAAAGCTGTCTTCTATTGCATAATAGGTCTGAAAGCCTCATCTTTGTACATGCTTTATAAAGACAGAGATTTGTTTGTTTTGGCAGTGTTTTATTTGGAGGGAAAGATCTTGGGGAATTGCTTTTTAATTTCACGGGTATTTGGCATGATGCAGTAAATCATAAAAATCAGCATTTCCTTATCCCCTTCTGTTTTTATTTTTATAGTTGGCTCTCAGCCCTTGAAAGCACAAAATGGCTCCATCACCTGTCTGTGCTTCTGAAGTCGGCACTTCTGGTAGTGCACGCTGTGGATCGTGATCAGCGGCCGGTACTTGCGCACTGCTCAGATGGCTGGGATCGTACTCCCCAGATTGTGGCATTGGCTAAGCTCTTGCTGGATCCGTATTACCGAACCATAGAGGTGAGTGCATCCAAAGAGTAGGATTTGGTACGTCAGTATGAGTGGGAGAAACCTTGGAGGGTTTTATGATCAGTTTTGGTCTTGGTGGTTAGACCTAAGGAAAGTGAAATTTGTTTTAAAACCCTTGCTCCTTTACCTTGAGCTAAATTGTCGTGGTGCCTCCCATAGTTCTTGTGCCATTTAAAATGGAGTAGAATGTGTATAACAAGGTATTGAGAAATACAGACATGTTTTCCTTTGCAGTCTATCTACTTGGAAAAGTTCTGGCTACCCCAGGAAAATGGGGCTACTATAGAAGGATCTTGGCATGCTCATTATGATAATGGGTCGGGATATCACAATAGTGTTCTGTGGAGAAAGAGCTCCGCTCTGAAAGAACCACACGTTGGGTTAAAGATGTAAGAAAAGCCATAAAGGTGCCCTTAAATACATGTAAATTTGGGGGTAGGGAAAGCTATTAGAAATAAGACTTTGTAAGTATAACACGAAATACAGAAATAAAATAAAAATAAAAATAAAAGTAAAAAAAATTTAGAAAAAATGTGGATTTTATACTGTATAGTGAATGAAAGTATGGATTCAGGAAAGGCTTAGATAAATGCTTAGTACCCTTTTGATGATTATGGAATGGAGTTGAGGGAAGTAGGAAATTGCCCTGAGGTCCATTCCATGGAACTCTTGGCTATGGGGCTGGGTCAGGGCCTCCTGTTGGGCTTACTGGGAGTTTGCTAAAAGGGATTATTGCTGTTAGTCCTGACAGGCTTAGGGCTGTCATAGTCTCCAAGTATGAATGATCTCTCCTGGGTGTTTCCCTGCAGGGTTTCCAGGTCCTCGTGGAGATGGAGTGGTTGGATTTTGGCCACAAGTTTGCTGACCGGTGTGGTCATGGGGAGAACTCCGATGATCTGAACGAGCGCTGCCCAGTGTTTCTGCAGTGGCTTGACTGTGTTCATCAGCTTCAGAGGCAATTTCCTTGCTCTTTTGAGTTCAATGAAGCATTCCTTGTGAGTTTGGGCTTATAATTCTTCATTTTGGGGACCTTCTAAAATTATGGGGGTATTAATGCAAATGATAGCGGGCTAGTTTTCACATGAAACTATGGATTCTTTTTAGAATTTAATAAGGAGCCATTCTATGTCCCAGTTTTAATTAAAAACACTGAGAAGTGTGTGTTTATTCAGTGAATGTAGATATGTTAGGTTTGCATAAAGTCTTTGTTTTAAACTTAGTTTTTTACTTATTTTTTTAAGATTTTATTTGACAGACACAGCGAGAGAGGGAACACAAGCAAGGGGAGTGGGAGAGGGAGAAGCAGGCTTCCTGCTGAGCAGGGAGCCCGATGCGGGGCCCGATCCCAGGATTCTGGGCTCATGACCTGAGCCGAAGGCAGATGCTTAACGACTGAGCCACCCAGGCACCCCAAAGTTTTGTTTTTTTTTAAATTGAGGTATAATTGACAATATAACATTAGTTTCAGGTATACAACATAATAATTCTATTTGTATATATTGTGAAATAATCACAATAAGTAATTAACGTCCATTGCCACACAAATTTTTTTTTTCTTGTGAGAACTTTCAAGACCTACTCTTTTAGCAACTTTCAGATATGCAGTAGAGTATTATTAACTATATTCACCATCCTGTACATGACATCTCCAGGACTTATTTTATAGCTGGAGGTTTGTATCTTTGACTGTCTTCATTTTACTCTTTGGCACTGTTTCATCACACCTTTCTTGAAACCCTTTCTTCATTTGACTGCCAGCACAAACTCTGCCTTCCTTCTTCTCTGCCTCACTGGCTGGTCTTTTTTTGTCTCCTGTGCTGCTTCTTAATACCTTCCCAGTGCTGAATGTTGGAGTGCTCCAGGACTCAGCCTCCAATGTGCTTCTGTATCTTACTGCCTCTCTGGGGATTTCATCTAGTCCGATGGCTCTGATTGCTATCCATGATTCTCACATTTATAATTCCGTCTTCAGCTCAGATCTCTCCACTTCACTCCAGACTCACATACCCAACTGTGACTGCTCAGTATCTCCACGTGGATGTCCTGATGGTATTTCACACTTAACTTGTTCAAAACTTGGTTTTTGATTTCCACATCTCCCCACCCCAAAATATGATCTTCCAGAAGTCATCAGCCTCACCAGGTGGCAACTCAGTCCTTCCATTTATTTAGGGCAGAAACTTATATGGCCTGCCCAACTCTCATCCTCCCCCTTTCACACTCCACGTTCAGTCTGTCAGCAGATTCTGCAGCTTTGCTTCCAAAATCTATCTAAAACCTGATTACTTCCTGCTGTCTCCACTGTTCCCACACTGGTCCAAGGTACCACCACCATCTCCTGCCCCAAGAGTCAACCCAGCAACTAGAGGGATCATTTTTTTTTAAAGATTTATCCATTCATTTTAGAGAGAGAAAGCACACAAGCAGGGGGAGGGGGGGAGAGAGAGAGAGAGAGGGAGAGAATCTCAAGCAGACTCCCTGCTGAGCACAGAGCCTGATATGGGGCTTGATCTCACCACCTGAGACCATGACCTGAGCCAAAATCAAGAGCCAGCTGCTTAACCGACTGAGCCACCCAGGCGCCCCTAGAGGGATCCTTCTAAAACATGATTGAGACCATATCATTCCCCTGCTTAAGAACCTCCAATGACTTTCCATTTCACACAGAGTAAAAGTCAGTCCTTAAAATGGCCTGCAGAGCTGTCCTAGAGGTTACCTGTCTAGATTCGTTTTCTACCATTGCTCTCTTTGTGCAATGTTCTTCAGTTACACTGGCCTCCTTCTGTTTCTTGGAAATCGCAAGCACGTGCTCACCTCAAGACCACTGTGCTGGCTGTTGCCTCTGCCTGGAGCATTCCCCCCTCAGATACCTTCTTAACTTGCTCTCTCACTTTCTCCTGCTGTCCTGCTTGTGCCCTGTCCCGCTCACCCTGCCTTATTGTGGTCCACAGCAGTGGTCACCCCTCCCCCACGACTAGAGCCAGCTCCATCAGGGCAGGAGAGTTGTCTGAGAGTTGTTTCCTATTCAGGACCCATAGAAGTGTCTGGGGTATGTCAGATGCTCAGGAATGATTCGTTGAGTGAAGTGTGCTCTCAGTTCAGACTTGCATTGCACACTGACCTGCTCTTGTACCCGGGTGATAATGATCTGTTGCTCTGGAGTGTGGCTGTTAACTTAGGACTTGCCAGACTGGTTGCCAGGGAGGCCAAGAGGAATGGGGTGCCTGCGATCTGTCTTTGCTCTTTTGACTCAGGAATGCTAGTGGTTGGGGTTGGCGCTCTGGGGTTGGTGTTGTGAGGAGGCAGCTCTTCTGTGGCTTACTTGGTTCCCTCATCCTTATGGAGTGTGAATCCTGAGGTGCTCTCAGGGATGTTGGGGAAGTGTGGGGCTCAGCGGGGCTACCCTTCCCCCGGAGAACATACACGCTATGGCTGGCTTTTGGACTCCCACAGGTGAAACTGGTGCAACATACCTATTCCTGCCTGTTTGGAACATTCCTGTGCAACAACGCTAAGGAGAGAGGGGACAAGCACACTCAGGAACGGACGTGTTCTGTGTGGTCGCTGCTTCGGGCAGGCAACAAGGCGTTCAAAAACCTCCTGTACTCATCTCAGTCAGAAGCCGTATGTATCCTTCAGCCTCTCCTCTCCGACCAGCAGAAGGAATTTGGGGCTGGAGACCTATGGGTGCTGTTTTCGGTAGTGACTGTTTTCTCAAAGGCATCTCTCTTGTCTCTGGGTGGGTGGGTTCCCTTTTTTCCCATCTGTCCTAAGGAAGGCTTGTTTCCTGGTGCTGCTCTGATCTGCTTCTAACCACTTCTTGCTCAGGGTGGTTTGATTTAATACACATTTCTGTTTTGCACTCCAGACACGAATCTTTTCTGGCACCTCTGTCAGCATAACTCACTCCCGGCATGTTCTAACAAGTGGAAGGGGAACCTAAGTTGTCCCCTGGGTGTCCCTGCAAGCCCCCGGCACCCTTCCAGTGTCCTCAGGTGATGATACGCACTGCAGCTCCTGTCTCAGAGAGCAGAAGAGTGTGTGTGACGTTAGCATGTGTGTCGGTGAGATTTTCTGCCCCCGTGGAGAACTGGCAGGCCCTTTTTTAAGACTTTTTTCTTCAAAGGGACACCTGCTATTAAGCAGAGGAAAGGAGGCACGCACATCTGTGTTGATACCTGGTAACGTTCCTTTTGTCAGAATGCATCTCAAATTCTAAAGTCAAAAGGAAGTTAATCAGAGGTTATATTGCTTCACTGGACTATTAATATGCTTCTCACTACATTTAAGTAGTCAGAGGAAAGATTTACACTAACTGCTCTCTTTGCTTCACTGCTGGGGAAGTCATAATACAGGAAGAAAATTCCCTTCTTTTCACATGATTAATTTAAATGATCCTATAAAACAGGTTTGACAGTGTCTTCTGAAGCCACGTTTTTGTACCAGGAAACACAATCACCATCTAGTGGAATGACTCACCTTCGTATGAAGTAAAAGCAACAAGTTAAGCTGATACGAAAGTCAGTCATTCAATAAAGGGGACCTAAGAAGTAATTAATGAGAAATAGATTTAAAAAAAAAAATCCTTTAGATTTTCATGCCCACAAGAGGCTCTCAGGTGAGAAATGTAGCTGGTGCAGACCTGTTGGGTGTTCCAGCTTGGTGACTGTTTTTGACCCTCATTTCTTGTTGGGACTTGTTTAAACCTGTATCCCCACTGCTCTCTCAGGTGCTGTACCCTGTGTGTCACGTGCGTAACCTGATGCTGTGGAGTGCAGTGTACCTGCCCTGCCCATCCCCATCCACCCCCGTGGACGACAGCTGTGCACCATATCCAGCCCCTGGCACCAGCCCTGATGATCCGCCCCTGAGCCGGTGAGCCCAGGGTTGATGCTGAGGCCTCAAGTCCTGCATGGGTATACTTCTGTGTTGGGGCACATCCAGGCATGGTTAGAGATCATGACGTTGTCCGGGTCCACACGTCTCGCTTAGATTTCTGAGGTTTTCTCAGAGAAGGTATAAGGGTTTCAGGCTTCGAGGCTATAAGAGCCTCATTTCCTGAAGGGCGTTGGGCCCTACACTATATTGTTCTGCTGCATGCACCGAGCGGTTTCTCAGTGATGGAGCAAACCTCTGGGTTCCTTGTGACCCTCTGGCTTGAGTTTCAGCCATGCTCTGTGCTCCTGCCTTTCTGCTATCATTTGTCTTTTTGGGGTTGAAAGGCAAATGCTGTCAGATGATATAGAAAGTTCGGCTTTGCCACTTGAGAATTAACTTTATTGAATTCAGACTGCTAAATACATTAATTTAGAATATTGTAATAGCAGAAAATCAGCAATGCTTACTTTCCTTTGCCACTAGTGGAGAAACAGAGCAGTGTCATGAGCGTTTTTTAAACATAGCATTTGCTGTTCGTTTCTTTGTATATATGGACACAGGGCGGGGCAGGGCGAGTGGGGTAGGTTGAGAGGAGCTTTGCCGACTAGAAGGGCCCATCCTGGAGTTTTTTGCCTTTCTGTCCGTCTGAGTCTCACTTTAAAAGATGCCAAGGCTCTTTGAGTATGAGTAGCTACAGTGGACCCAATTATGAAACAACTGCCTGTTAAAACTGATTGTCTCCTGCTTTCCTCTGAACAGCCTCAGATTCTCATTCCCCTCGAACTCCTTTTGTCTAGGCTACCAAAGACTAGATCATTTGACAATCTGACTACAGCTTGCGACAACACAGTGCCTCTAGCCAGTCGGCGCAGCAGTGACCCAAGTCTGAATGAGAAGTGGCAGGAGCACAGGCGCTCACTGGAATTGAGCAGCCTGGCTGGTCCTGGGGAGGAGCATCTCGATCCTGACAGCCTGGGGAAGCCAACCAAAGTGCTGGGCGGCGCTGAGCTGTCTGTTGCAGCTGGAGTGGCCGAGGGGCAGATGGAGAACATTTTGCAAGAGGCCACCAAAGAGGAGACTGGGATAGAGGAGCCTGCCCATAGGGGGAGCATTGAGATGCAGGAAGTCAAAGAGGAGGCTCTTTTAGAAAAGGAGATCAGGGTGAAGACCCCTGAGGGCTCGGCCATTATCTTTCCTCAAGAACTAGAACTGGGTGATGCTGCTCTGGCGAACCATCCAGGCACTAGCCTTTCCGTGTTCTCACGGGGTATTCCTGAGCAGCAGGGTGGGCATAGTGTTCTCCCCCATTTTCTCCAGGAGTCCCCCAGGGGAGAGGATGCCCAGGAGGTCCCTGTGGAACAGCCCCGAATAGGAGCTATTACAGAAGATAGGGAGGAAGCGTTTCTTCCAATCCCAGTAGATGCAAAAGTTGGCTATGGTACCTCACAGTCAAGTTCTCTGCTGCCCTCCCAAGTCCCATTTGAGGCCAGAGGACTAGAGATGGACAGTTCGATGGACATGTTAATAGAAGATCAAGTCAAGTCAGAAGGTGGGCCCGAAGGCCATCATAGACCTTGCCTGGTGAACAGTGGCTGGTTCAGTGGCAAGGACATGCTTCCTCAAACCATGGAGCCCTGGCCTTCAGAGAAGACCCTAGCTGAGAGGCCCCAAGTGGGATCTGTGGTCCATAGGACTTCCCCTGGCAGCACCCACAGCCCAGCGCGTTCTCCTTGTGCCTTGCCTTTAGCCGAATGTAAAGAGGGGCTGGTGTGCAATGGTGCCCCAGAGACCGAAAATAAGGCTTTAGAGCAGCCCCCAGGGCTTAGCACCCTCCAGAAGCACCCCACCCCCAATGGGCACTGCACCAATGGGGAGGTTGGTAGGAGCAAGGACTCACTGAGCCGCCAGCTGTCTGCTACAAGCTGCAGCTCTGCCCGCTTACACTCGAGGAACTTGCACCACAAGTGGCTGCACAGCCACCCGGGGAGGCCATCTACAGCGGGCAGCCCCGACCAGCCTTCCCGCAGCCACCTGGACGACGATGGCATGCCTGTGTACACGGACACTATCCAACAGCGCCTGCGTCAGATCGAGTCAGGCCACCAGCAGGAAGTGGAGACCCTGAAGAAACAAGTACAGGAGCTGAGGAGTCGCCTGGAGAGCCAGTACCTGACCAGCTCCCTCCGTTTCAATGGGGACTTCGGGGATGAAGTGGTGAGTAGACCACAGTGCCTCCATAACTGCCCAAGGAGAGGGCACACTGAGGCTGGGCGCTCTTTGTGCCCGGTGCACAGTGATTGGTACAGATTTCTACAAGAATTGGAAAGGTCCAGAGCAGTCCTGTTGAGAGGCTGGAGATCAGCCTCAGCCATGTGAATGGCAGTCTGCGTGGTGTTCTTTCCTGCCTTGCTCACTTGCCACAGGTGTCCTGTTGAGGCGGTTAGAATAAGGAAGAGAGCGCTCGGTATGTGGTTGGTCAGATCTCTTTGGAGAGAGGATCATGTTTTAAGACAGGGCATGAACTCCTGGGCAGAATGACATTAGAGCAGTGTCAAATATTCCTGTCAAAATGTAATGCCTGTCCTACCCCACTAGCTAGTAAACTGTGAGCGCCCCCCGCCCCAAACACAGGCTGTAGCTGTGAAAGTTTAGTTTAACAAATGTTTGTACCTGCCCTTTGGCGGCTGATGGCAGTAGAAATGGGGAGAAGGGATTGGTTTCTGGCACTGTGGAGGGGTTAGCACTGATGGGGCCTGGTGACTGGAAGTGAGGCTACGTGAGGGGGAGGTTCTCAGGGAGATGCTCTCCTCGCTCGCTGAGTCTGACTTGATGTGTTCGAGTACAAGCAGGAACCTGGCTCTGAAGCAGTCAGCGTACATGAAAGGCGGGCTCATCCAACGACTTTCAATTCAAACTGTCTTCTCGGTATTTCCTTCATACTAATGATGATTTCTCATTTTCCCAAAGAGTCCTTCAGAGAAAGGAGGACGTGCCCAAAGCACTCAGTTTGCACACGCAGATGTAAGTGGCAGGGCTGGAGCAACAGACTCACTGGAACAGCTGACACTCATTTCACACGCCTTCCTGGTCATTTCTGCCCCACTCACTTCCTGGAACCCAAGGCCCATCTTTTCACCGCAGTCACTGCACACAGCTTTAGACCTGCGCATCTCTCTTCCACCTGAGTTCAACCCTGTCTCTGCACCTGCTCAACCCATTTCTTGATGGCTGAGGCGCCAACAGATCTGGCAGCCCTAATACTCAGGCCCGCCTGAAGTCCCCAGTGCTCCCTTCTTTACCAAGCCCTTTCTTCTCCTGGGAGGAGCCAGGTTCATTCTGTTCAGCTCTGTTTGTTTGCCAACAGACGTCAATCCCCGACTCGGAAAGCAATCTGGATCAGAACTGTTTGTCTCGCTGCAGCACAGAGATTTTCTCTGAAGCCAGCTGGGAGCAGGTGGATAAACAGGACACGGAGGTACAGGCTCAGCCCCTGTTCTGAGTGCCGTCCATGCAACTGTCTTATGGTTCTTCTCCACCCCCATCCCTGTCCCATGCCCCTGGCCAAGGAATAACCTCATAGCACACTTAGCCTTGAGCCTCTGTGAATCCCCATCAAGCCTAGAATTTCTGAGCCAGGGAGACTCAGCAAGCTGGTCCTCTCTCCTCCTTGCCTCTGTGAACTGGAGCCTTGCTGGCTCTCATAGCGACCCAAGGTGCTGCTGCCTGATACTTGATCTCAGGGGAGTTTGGAGTCCCCTCTAGGGAAACGATTTGGACGCGCCTTTCTTGTATTGCTGACATCAACCTGCTGGGTCGCTGCCACCGGAGCCAGTATGGTCCTTGTGACTCTTGCCGCCCCCAGCACGGCTCTGCTGGCTCCAGCTGGATGGCCCATCTCCCGTCACTAACCTGGCCCCATCTGTTTTACAGATGACTCGCTGGCTCCCGGACCACCTGGCTGCCCACTGCTATGCGTGCGACAGCGCCTTCTGGCTCGCCAGCAGGAAGCACCACTGCAGGTGCCGATCGAGGGTGTGGTGGGGTGGGGCCAAGGTTTGGAGGCTGAGATTTGGCCCACAGAGCCTGCAGCTTGAAGAGATGCAGGCGTCTGGCTGGCGGTGTCCCATCTGAGGCAGATCCTGGGGTCTGTAGGCCCCCAACTCATCTTTTGTGCCTCTGAAATTGGTGTTTGCATTTGGTGGGGTTTTCCCCCCCAATTCAGAGTGATCATGACTAAATTTTAAAATGTGCAAATGATGTCCCCTTTTGTTCTGTTTTGCTTCCTGGATTAGCAGAGCAGCAGCCACCACCCAGACTACCATTTCTTACTCCTAGAATACCATTTCTTCCCGTTCAACATGGCTGCTATGAGCAAAAAAAGTTTTCCTGCTATGGGCAGGGAACTTCAATTTCCTACTGCTTACCCTGCTCCCTGACCCCAAACTCGTTTTCCTTGTGCCAGTAGTGAGGAGACCTAGCTGTGGGGACTAGTAGGGACAGAAGAGGACATAGTCTTCAATCCTTAAGGCTCCTGACTTCTTTCTTGATTGGGGTAGTTAGTTGCTAGAGATGCTTTGCCCCAGCTGGGGTGGTGACTGACTGGAGGATGTTCAGTGTTCTTGGGATAGGAAGTTCATCTGAATCCTGACATCGCTCACCCACATGAGTGAACCCAGGTAGAAAATGGAACCACCTCTTTGTCTAGTAATGATGCTTCAGGACTGTATATCTCCCTGCCCCGTCCCCCAAGCCCAAATGTCTTTGGTTGGCTTCTCTTCTGAGCTCTCTCTCCCCTCCTTGCAGGGACACTGACCGTGTTGATCAAACGTGGTGAGCATTTGCAACAACCTGTCTGTGATGTCTGCACATCTATAATAACTTCACACTAACGCTGCCATTTCCCCCTCTCTGCACTCACTGGGACGAAGCCTGGGGCTGGGAGTGTAGGCAGGCAGGTGGGCTTAGGGGGGAAACCAAAGCAGCTGACGGAGGAGATGATTAGGGCCGAGTCAGGCTGCAGCTGTGCACTCCCCTCCTGATCACACAGGTCAGCTGAGCCATCTTGCTTGTGACTGAGAAGCCGTGCTTCAGCCGGGGCTGGTCTTGTGGCAGAGCCATTTGGGTTTTCAGAGCTATTTTCCTTTGGGTTAGTCATTCAGTGGGATGCTAGAATGATGCTTCATGATCTCCAAGTCAGCATTGCTGCTCCAAATTTTTTTTTTAACAAAGAGACCAGGACTGAACAGAGGTGGTCTTTCCAGAGAACTGTTTTAGCATGGAAGACTTTAGTGGAGGGTTCCACTTAGGGTCTGTCAGGATCCCCTGAAAGAAGCCAGATAGAAAAGCTTAACTGATCAAATTCTTATCAGGATGAACTCCAGCAGGATATGTTAAATAAATGCAGACATTCAGAAGTAGATCTAGGCAATTTTTCTGTGTAACCACAGGTTCTTGCTGATTCATGCTTTTCAGAAACGTGAGGTGCTTACTGCGTTCTAGAAGATGAAGTTATGTGTGTTTGTTTTAGTTCTCTGTCCTTCCATTGCCCCATGTCTAGCCTTTTCCTTTTGTGGTATATATACATATATTTGTCCCCAGGTGGTCCTTAATTCTGCGGTGGGTTTGGATTCCGGGAGCATAAATGAAAAGGTAGTGAGTGATGCTGGCTAAGGAGGAGGATTTCCCTTCAGCTGCTTTCCCCAAGTCTTTGGTGGGCTGTCAGGCTCCTTGAAGTCCCCCATTCTTGGGTTTATTGAGATTGATTTGTCCTTTAGGGCCTAGCAGAGTGGGCTTGTAAGGTGGGCAGGACCTTATCCTCTGCCAGTTCCTTTTCCTCTTGGCTGCGAAGGGCAGCTGTTCGGTTGTGTGCACCTGTGCTGCGTGGACACGTCAGAGCTGGGCTTTCAAGTGGAGGAGGAGAGGGAGGCCTGGGGCCCTGAGTACAGTCAGGCCCTCAGGTGGAGCTCTGATATTCCCTGGTAGATGCATGGGGCCCGGGGAGTGAGCCATAAATGACTGACACCTATCTAATAAGGGGGGGGTGTTTGTGCACGTGTGTTCATCTGCGCTCTTGTCCTTTCACCCTGAGCATGTGTCACTGGTTGCTTGTCTTCTGGCTTTGCATGCTGGCAACAGGGCAGTCCTAGATGGCAATGGTCTTTTCTCCATTTTGCTGCCTCCGAGCCTCTGGGGATGTAGCCCGTTGGACAAGGCTCCTCACTCCCCAGCTAGACTAGGTAGTTTGTCTCATCTGAAGCACTCGGAGGTAGTTCCATTGGACTCTGGCCTCTCTGTGAGCACAAGCTACACAGAGGCCATTGCCCAAGTGGGTATGGCCGACTGGGTTTTTCTGAGCCAGGACTGAGCCAGTGTTCTAGTAGCCGCTCCTGCCCTGGGCCCTTTTGTTCTCCTGGATCTCTCTTGAGCAGCATCCTCCTGTACACCTGTAACTTTGAGCCATAATGGTGAGACAGCCAAGTGTCCTTAGCCCTAAAGTCACAGTGGTGTGAAACTACACTAGGCAGGAATTTCTATCCCCCCGCCCAGCTTGGCTTGTCCTGGGCTAGACCAATGAAACAGTTCAGTCTTGGAGGAGTCTCTAGCACATCCGAATTACAACAAAGTTCTGTCTTTTGAAGTTGGTTTCCTCACACCATACCTGCTACCGAAACTAACAGTGTTTTGTTTTCTTCTTCTCATCTCAAGGAATTGTGGCAATGTGTTCTGCTCCAGTTGTTGTAATCAGAAGGTTCCAGTTCCCAGCCAGCAGCTCTTTGAACCCAGTCGAGTGTGCAAGTCTTGCTATAGCAGCCTACATCCCACAAGCTCCAGCATTGACCTTGAACTGGATAAGCCCATTGCTGCCACTTCAAACTGAAGCTCAGTGACCTGGGGCGGGCAGAGGCCAAGCTGCTGTTCCTCTGACAGGCCCACACAGCCTGGGCAGACCGAGAGGCCCGTGCACTTTGGAATGGGGGCATGGAACCACCTGTGCAGAGTGACAGAAATTTGGGATGTACCACTGGATTGTAGATTGATTTTTCTTTACTGTTTTTCTTTTCTCCTCTCCCTTTTCCATCTTCCCTCTGCCTCCAAAAAAGAAAGAAGTCCCCTAGTTGTCTTAATTTTTTTTTTTTTTTTTTATTAAATGGAAGACCAGAGGTTTTTTTGTTTCACTTCACCAGAAAATCAAAGTGCAAACACGTGGGAAGC